AATTATACGTTGAATTATATGTAGTATACATAGGGGTTCGTGTTTAGGGTCCCATCACCGTTGCATGAATCCCTGTTTCTGGTTGCAAAATCCGGTGTTCTGGCTGCATGAATCCCCGTAGTTAGTTTCACGACGCAATGATCCTGATCCCCTACATATAAACCTAAACCCTTTACCCTTTGAATGAAAACCCCAAACCCTAAACCCGAAGCCCTACTGGCGGTTCTGGGAATTCAAAGGACTTACTTATAGTACGTACCACAACCCTACCGACCCCCCGAATCCCCTTAAATCCCACACCCTAAATTCAACCCCTATATCCGAACCACAGCCCTAAACCTTAAACCCGAAGCCCTAAACCCTAAACCCTAAACCCTAAACCCTAAACCCTAAACCCTAAACCCTAAACCCTAAACCCTAAACCCTAAACCCTAAACCCTAACCCTAAACTGGCCCTAAACCCTAAACCACCTTAAGTTTTGCAAGCTATGGATTCAGAGCCAAGACGCCCCCACGTCCAGGTCCGCACGCGCGCGCCTAGCGACCAGCGCCCTCGTGAGCCAGCTACGGCGGCAGAAGAAGGCAGTTTCGGGTCAGGGGTGTGTTTAGTTAGTAGCCCTAAACCCTAACCCTAAACCCTAAACCCTAAACCCTAAACCCTAAACCCTAAACCCTTGGGGCTTAGGCTTTGGGGTTCACGGATTTAGGGATTTAGAGTTGAGGGTTTAGGTTTTGGGGTTCTTGGTAGCCCAGTTGCCAGTGGTGCCCTTGTTGATGTTCCCTTTCTTGTTTCAGGGTTCCCTTAGAAAGCAACCAACCCACAAAGGTTTAGGGATGTAGGGATTCAGAGTTCAGGGTTTGGGGTGGAGGCCCATTATTCGGGTTTGGGGTTTTGGGGTTTGTGGTTTAGGGATTTAAGGCTTTGAGGGTTTAGGGTTTTAGGGTTTTGGGTTTCGGGTTTAGGATTTAGCATCAACATTTCGTTTGCTTGTGCAAGGAGATGTTTCGCGGATTTTGTTCTGGCGCCGGGTCAAGACAGAAGTGTTCGGGAACCCTAACCCTTAAACCTCTTCAAACCTCCTAAAAACCTCAATCTCCCGAAATCCCTAAGCCTTACATCCGGAATGCACCAGGCTTTAGGGTTTCAGGACCTAAGGGGTTTTGGGCTATTGAGGATTTTGGGGTTTAGGGTGCCCTAAACCCTAAACCCTAAACACTAAACCCTAAACCCTAAACCCTAAACCCTAAACCCTAAACCCTAAACCCTAAACCCTAAACCCTCCCGGAGAGGCCGTAGCTGCCTTCCTGCACCTCGGTGACGCCTTGGCGGCCGAAGCCGTGGCCAACGCTGGCTTTGAGGCCTTGTGAAGCCTTCTAACGAGGGTTTAGGGTTTAGGTTTGGGTTTTAGGGTTCGGGGTTCAGGGTTTAGGGTTTAGGGTTGGGGCTTTTGGGTAAACCCCTATAAGCCCTTAAAAGAACCCCAAAGGAGCAGCCGTTTTGGGGTCCGTGCGGCTTCGAGAAAGGGGTTTAGGGTTTAGGGTTATAGGGTTTAGGGTTTAGGGTTATAGGGTTTAGGGTTTAGGGTTTGCCCGTAGGCTCAAAAGAGCCCCAAAAGCCTTGTATACCGAGGCCTTTGGGGCCCAAAAGTCATTCAATGAGACCCACCTGAAGGCTCCCATGTAGTTTCGTTTTTTGGGGGTTGGTTCTGGGGCCCTAAACCCTAAACCCTAAACCCTAAACCCTAAACCCTAAACCCACTACGAAGAACCAGTAGAATGAGCGCCAACCCCCAGCTTGGGAGGCTCTCGTCCTTGACCATGAACAGGGTCCGGGCGACCTCCTGAATGCCGTTGGCCTTGCCTGGGCCTCTGGGGTTGAGGGTACGGCTTCAAGGGGTTTAGGGTTTAGGGTTTAGGGTTTAGGGTTTAGGGTTTAGGGTTTGGGGTTTAGGGTTTAGGGTTTAGGGTTTGGGGCTAGGACTCAGAGTGGGCCCTTATTCCCTCTTCCTCTGTTTTTTGGGTTTAGGGCTTCAAAGGGTTTAGGGTTTAGGGTTTAGGGTTTAGGGTTTAGGGTTTGGGGTTTAGGGTTTAGGGTTTAGGGTTTGGGGCTAGGACTCAGAGTGGGCCCTTATTCCCTCTTCCTCTGTTTTTTGGGTTTAGGTTCCCCTATAAGTCCCTTTAAGCCAAAAAGGGTTTAGGGTTTAGGGTTTAGGGTTTAGGGTTTAGGGTTTGGGGTTTAGGGTTTAGGGTTTAGGGTTTGGGGCTAGGACTCAGAGTGGGCCCTTATTCCCTCTTCCTCTGTTTTTTGGGTTTAGGTTCCCCTATAAGTCCCTTTAAGCCAAAAAGGGTTTAGGGTTTAGGGTTTAGGGTTTAGGGTTTAGGGTTTAGGGTTTAGGGTTTAGGGATTCCTAGGTTTGTTTTGGGTCTAGACTTCGAAGGAGATAAGGGCTTGCGGGGCTTAAGGGGCTGAAGGGCAGTGCATGATTGCCGGGCTGGTGTGCTTAGCGATGCAGCAACAATCTCCTCCAGACCTAGGACCTAGATCTTCTGCACCCTGACGTTTCTGAGACTACTGGCACGGGCTCGCGCGCCTCAGCGGGCGCCGTGGTGCGAGGCGCTGGCGCAAGATCAGCACTAGTTGATATTGGGGCGCCCATTTCCTGGCGGATCTCACCTGACGGTCTGGCAACGTTTTCAGGTCGCCGACATCAACGAACTCGTGGTGGTGTGCGGCGTTTATGAACTGCACGCATCATGGCTTCATACGCTCTTCCGGCACCTCGTGGAGCATCCCACCCGCACCTCACACTATGTCTGGCTTCTTCTCCCTAAAGAATCTGGTCTAGCGAATGTCTAACGAACCGCAAGCCCTGTAGCTGTGCCATGGCCCAAATTTTGAATGCTACTTGGATTCCACCTGTTACTGTTGGCGAGGAGCCCCCAAATATATCCTCATACTTAGTGGTACTTACACTGCGCACGATATGGTACGATATTAGGGGTACCTGTTATTGTGGCCCTTGTTATAAGGGGATCCTAGTTCTTGGGGTCTATATCGGGGCCCCCTTCGTATCGTAAAAGCCCAGAAGTTCTGAAGTAGGGGCCCAGAGGATGATAAGGATATGCAAGGGGTATACAATGTGTCCCTACCTAAACTTTGTGGTGCTTTGCTGCAACGTTAGATCCTAGCCTTTTTGGGTTTAGGGTTTAGGGGTTTAGGGTTTCTTAATAAGGCAGCTAAAAGTTTAATTTATAGCTACCCTCCCAAGTGCAGCCAAGTAAACCCTGAACCCCTAGTTAAGGGCCCATACTAAGGTCCCTCGTAACAACCCGGAGATCGTTGTTTCGGTGCAAGTTCACTCCGCGAATCGTAGGTGTTCTGGGCCCACCTAGCTTGGGTTGGGTATATGGGGCTTAGGGCTTAGGGTCTTTCAGTGGCTTTGCGTGACTTTCCTTGACCCAAAAACCCTAAACCCTGAGGGCTTTAGCCCCTTGAACCTTATCAGCCTTGCGAAGTCCCTCAACTTGGTAATCCAAAGGGCTCAGACAGGCCCTAAACCCCAAACCCTCAACCCGTAACCCTAAACCCCAAAGCCTAAACCCTAAACCCCAACCCCCCCCCCCTCTCTCTATGGAACCTAACCTAAACCCTAAACCCAGAACCCAATAAAGCCCGCACCCCCCATACCGGCCACGAGGTCCACGCAGCCGCCAGCGCCGGGACGCACCCACTGCTCCGAGCCTCACCGGCTCAGATTCTTGGGGCCCCATACCCGAAACCCGACACCCTAAACCCTAAACCCTGAACCCTCCTTCTCTCTCTCTCTCTCTCTCTCTCTCTCTCGCTCGCCAAAGGGAGCGATTTCGGGAAGTTGCGAGCAAGGGGTACGGATAGCTCTGGTGATACCAAAGAGAGGCGTGTGTGGGGTTTAGGGTTTAGGGTTCGTATTCACACCCAAACCCCAAACCCCAAGCCCCAAACCCCAACCCCCAACCCCCAGCCCGAAACCCTGAACCCTAAACCCTAAACCCGAAACCCTAAACCCTAAACCCGAAACCCTAACCCCTGGATGTCAAGCTCCATGCCAGGTGCCAAGCAACGACCCCGGGCCTGTCACTCAGCACAGTCCGGCAGGATAAGGGGGACCCCTAAAAGGAAACCCCTTCTTAACCCTCTTCTGGCTCTCTTAAACAGGGACCTTATTCAGAGGGTCTATATCCCCAAAGGGTCCCCCTAATCCTATCCCCTACACAGGGACAGGCTTCCTTGGACGGATCATGGGTAGTTAAGGGTTTAGGGTTTGGGTTTTGGGGCTTAGGGTTTAGGGTTTCGGGTTTGGGGTGTAGGGCTTTAAATTCATTAAGGCTTGGGGTTTGGGGTCCAGGGTCTGGCGTTTGACGTTTAGGGTGTAGGCTTTGGGTTTGGGGTTGATTTAGGGTTTCAAAGCCTAGGATGGAGGCGCAGGCTTTTTCCGTACCCCTAAAAGGTTATAGTAGCAGGTTTTCGGTGTATTGCTTCCAAGACGCACATTGTCCTACCCATGAACCTCTAAGCAAGGCTTTCTTGCAGCCAGAGTCGCACCTTCAGCTCTTTAAAAAGGAATGAGGCAGAGACACAGTAGACACGCTCAGCCTCATCCTCATCCTCATCATCCTCATCATCATCATCATCATCATCATCATCATCGGCATCATCCTCACAATCAACATCATCATATAAGTGTACAAAGGGAGAGACAAGTAATTAGAACCCAATGTCAAGATTTCGGTGCTACGCTACCACCCTCAACCCTCAATTAGAGGCCAAAGCCTCAACCCTAGACCCCAGGTAAACCCCGGAAGCCCTGAACCCCTACACCCCCCTAAGCCCTAAATCTTAAACGCTAAGCCCCTAAACCCCTTACCCCTAAACGCCTTAAAGCCCTAAACCCCTAAAACCCAAAACCCGAAGGTACCTCCGGCGAGCTTTGCAACTTGGCTTTGAGGGTCTGATCCTGCCCATGACGGAAACCGCCGAGCAGGCGGGCTGTCGGTTGGCAACTCGGACCTCTAAAACACCCTAAGCCCTGAACCCTAAACCCTAAACCCTAAACCCTAAACCCCGGTAACATTTACGAAGCCCGGCGCTCTGTAAGCCCCTTAAGCCCCAAAAGACCTAGAGCCCCCAACTGGGGCCGATGGAGGGCGATTGTTGTGGGTTTTGTCGGATTTCCGGTTGCGCAGATTGACCCTAAACCTTAAACCTTGAACCCTAAACCCAAAATCCTACGTGATTTCGCTGTGGAGAAGAGAATTTCTTGGGTTGATGCGAGGGCAGTAATTACCTTGAAAGGATCTAGGGTTTAGGGTTGGGGGTTTAGGGTGAGGGTTGACCACGAAATCAACCCGAACAGGCTTGACGGTTCATGATGCGCAACCGATGTCCGGGGTGTGCATGAGGGTACATGATTCCTTGGAGCCCCTTATTCCCTTCACTAGGACCCAGTGTAGGTCCTTTTCCCCCCCTGTTTTAGGGCCTCAGGTTTCCTTCTTCACGCCTTTGAACCAAAGGGTACCTGGGTATTCCTCAGCTTACTCTCTGGGTTTACATGCCCAATCCAGGGTTCTGTCTGTCCGCAAGGATGGGAAGGTAAGAAAACCCTAAACCCTAAACCCTAAACCCTAAACCCTAAACCCTAAACTCTAAACCTAAACCTCCAAACCGTGAGAATTCCTGAGCACCTACACTAAAGGCCCCCGGACCCCTAAACCCTAAGCATCCCTAAGCCGCAACCTCCCAGCACCCTAACCTGAAACCCTAAACCCTAAACCCTGAACCCTGAACCCTAAACCCTAAACTCCCCTCTCACCAATACTGAGAGTGAAGCCTTGCGAGGCCGTGCAGTTCGTAGCCATGGCCCGGAAGTCCTTCCCGGCTCTGTGGCGGTCCTCAGAGGTTTAGGGTTTAGGGTTTTGGGGTTTAGGGTTTAGGGTTTAGGGTTTGAAGTTGGGATGCCTTAGTATTAATAGGGAGTATAGTCTCGCCCCTTAGGTTTTTGGAGCTTCGTATATTGGTTGGGGCCAAAAAGTTTGAGAGTTTTGGGTTTACAGAGGCCTGCACTCTAAACCCTATAAGCTTCAGACCCTAACCCTCTGAACCCGAAGCCCCATAACCCTCCGAACCCGAAACCGCTTTTGTCGGCTTCCAGTCGGGCTTTTCAGCTTCATGGGTTCCCCCACTTCCCCCCTCTTTTGCTACCCCCCTAGGTTCCCCCCTTAAATAAACGGAATTAGGCTCAGTTATCCCTAAACTAGACCTCATTAATTATGGGAGGGGGAGGGGGGTGTAGTGTAGAGTGTAGTAGGGGAACCCATGACAGTTCGGGGGCGGGGGGGGGGGGGGCACTTCGCCTTCTCTGGTGTACTCTGGGCTCAGGGTTTAGGGTTTAGGGTTAGGGGGGGGGGGGGGGGGAGGATGTTGAGATGTTGGGGGTTCTGGAGCTTGAGCTTGTGCAAAAGCTTGGGGACTTTCGTTTGGGCTTCGGGTTTAGTTAGGGTTTAGGTTTTAGGGTTTAGGGTTTTAGGGTTTTAGGGTTTTAGGGTTGTAGGCTTTTAGGGTTTTAGGGTTTTAGGGTTTTAGGGCTTTAGGGCTTTAGGGCTTTAGGGCTTTAGGGCTTCAGGGTTTTAGGGTTTTAGGGTTTTAGGGTTTTAGGGTTTTAGGGTTTAAGGTTTAGGGTTTAGGGTCTACGGTTTAGAATCCATAGTTTGGTTTCGGGTATTGAGTTCAGGGCTTGTGGGATAAGAGGTGCTGTCCCAGAACGGACTGGTCCGAGACGCCCAAAGCCCACAACAAGGCCAAAAAGCCTCAAACCCTCTCTAAGCCTATCTACCAACATCGCAGGGCACATTATATGTTCCCTCCCCTCTTTGTTTTACACTTCTTTTATTCATGTATCCTGACTTGACTTGAAGTATTTTAACAGCTTGAGCCTCAGCACTTGTTTTTTGTTTGTAAGCGCTTTGCAACAGTCATGTAGTGTACAAATACCTACAAACCCCCTCAACCCCCTAAACCTCCGAAACCCAAACCCCTGAACCTTGCACCCTATAAAACCTGCATAGCCCTAAGCCCCCGTTGTGTTTTTTGCCTCAGCGCTAGGTAAAATCCAATGTCTGCCCTAAAACCCCCTGAACCCCCGAACCCTAAACCTCAAACCCTTATATAAACCCCTAAACCCCCTAACCCTCAGCCCCTGTACCCCTAAACCCTAAACCCTCCTAAACCCTAGACCCCTAGACCCCTAAACCCCTACAACCCTAAACCCCTACAACCCTAAACCCCTAAACCTGAAACCCTAAAGCCCTAAACCCCTAAACCCTGACGCCTGAAGCATACGTGGCACGACTGATCACGATTTTTGGGATGGAAGATTGAAGAAGGAGATCATGCAGGCAACTCGAACATGGCATTGCATGAAGCATTGCCTGCCTGGAACCCGAGCGGTATCCAGGCTTTCAACTGCCTTGGCAAAGGTCATCCACTTCATCGTGATAGGTGTCCACGTCTTTGACATGTGTACCGACGAGACGGGAACGCCTACTTCATTGGTGCTCTACTTCGTTTCAGTTTCAGACATGCTGAGCGATGAGAACCAGCATCTTGTTGGAGACACTTTGAGCTGGCGACATGGCGGCACACGCAAAACGGCGCGGCGACTCAGGGGCCACTGCTCCTCACAGGGCGTGAGGTTGACCAGGTCAAGGAGCCAACCACCTAAACCCTAAACCCTAAACCCTAAACCCTAAACCCTAAACCCTAAACCCTAAACCCTAAACCCTAAACCCTAAACCCTAAACCCTATACCCTATGCTGGGAGTTCTTGGAGGTGAGATTGTGGTCTCATGCCCTTTGTGCGTCCTCAAGGATGGGACGTTTGGTGGGATAAAACGTGCGTTTGAGGAGATCAACAAGACATAGACCTCTTGTTTGCTTGGAAAGGATCACAAGCACAAGAGAGTCACATCCCTTCGAACATTGTGTGGAGTGCTGCTGTCTTTTTTGTGTAAAGCATTCTATTCTTCCTCAGTTCCTGTAATTGCGAGGAGCCACTCCAATTAATTTGTGAATTCCTATGTAGTCTCTCCACAAGTCACATGGCTTCTGGATTGTCCGCATGACAGAGCGCGTAAACCATAAAAGCCCTAGACCCTAAACCCCTAAACCCCAAACCCTAAACTTGAAACCCCTAAAACCCCTAGACCCTAAACCCCTAAACCCTAAGCCCCTAAATCCCTAAGTCCCTGAAATCCCTAAACCCTGCACTTCTCAGGTCCTCCATGAGAGGCTCAGGCGGCTTTTTTTCGGGCAAAGAGTCTAGGGTGGAGTCTATTCTGGTTTGTATTGTTTCTAGTATTTGCTTTTGCTTTGTTATTATTCTTTGTTTTCGGGGGGGGGGGGTTGTGGTGTTGTATGTGCCAGCTGCAATTTTATGACGGCGCGGCTGTGCTTGAACTTGGGGGGGGGGGGGGGGGGCGGAGCGTCTCTGGAGCATTCACAGAAGTATGCAGGTCATGTCTCTGCCCTGTGCCCTAAGCCATCAAACCACCCTAACCCTAAACCCTAGCCCTAAACCCTAAACCCTAAACCCCAAACCCCAAACCCCAAACCCTAAACCCTAAATCCCAAACCCCACACCCTAAACCCTAAACCCTAAACCCTAAACCCTAAACCCTAAACCCTAAACCCTAAACCCTATACCCTAAACCCTAAACCCTAAACCCTAAACCCTAAACCCTAAACCCTAAACCCTAAACCCTAAACCCTAAACCCTAAACCCTAAACCCTAAACCCCAGCCAGGCGGACCCGCAGCCGCAGCGGTGCGCAGCGCAGCGCCCATGGCGGCACGGCGGCAGCGTGAGTGCTTACTTGGAGGTTCAGGGTACTGACTAACCAAGTATGGGGTTTAGGGTTTAGGGTTTCGGGTCCTTGTAAGGGGGGCTCTGCAGCATTTCTAAGTAGACACCCTCAAAAGATACAACTGTCAGGTGTTACGAACATATGGGACACCCAATATCGACCCGCCCATTTAGTAGGATTTCTTTAGAAGAAGGACCCCCCATAAGGGAAACCCCGAATCTGGGAAACCTTTCTCTTATAGGGGCGAGGGTTGGGTTTGGATTTGAGGTTTAAAGGTCTTCCCATGTTGTAGCCCACGTGCATACTATACAGGTACTCTATAGGGGTCGGAATAAATACTGATGGCACCCCCCCAAACCCCAAACCACCAGAGTGGGCCGCTTTGAGAGTTCCCAGGCCAGCCACTTCCTCCGCCGGCGTGGCGAGGACTTGCTGATGAAAGCCGTGCAGGCCACAACCCGGAAACCCTAAACCCTAAACCCTAAACCCCAAACCCCAAACCCTAAACCCTAAACCCTAAAACCCTAAACACTAGGGTTTAGCCACCGCACCCTGAGGCTCAGAAGAGCAAGGGTTTAGGGTTTAGGGTTTAGTGTTTAGGGTTTAGGGTTTTGGGTTTACTTAGTACTCAGGACCTTTGGGTCCAACAACCCTTCAATAAGAGTCCCTGGAGCCTTTTGGTCACACTAGTCAGAGTTACGTCGACGGCAGGAAAGAGCCAGAGTCGCTAGCCTTTGAGCCCTGCAGAGCATCTACCCCGAAATCCCCACGTCCCCAAAACCCTAAACGCTTAACCCCAGCAGAACCTAAACCCTAATCCCTAAACCCTAAACCGCCTAAAGCCCTGCTTCAAAATTCAAATCAGAAAGGGCGCAGGTTGGTGAAAGCTTCGATATCTTCACTGGCAAGTTAAGCACTTTGGGCTTCAGGACGAAGGAGACTCCGCCCTGTAGGTTTAGGGTTTAGGGTTTAGGGTTTAGGGCTTGTGCACCCCAAACCCTTTTCGTGGAGTTTAAGGAGTAATGTCGGCTGGCTGGTGCTGGGGTCATTCCTTGCAGGTGCTTGTGAAGTCCTTTCCTCTCCTCAACCGGACATTCGGGGATGCTTCCCTAAACCCTAAACCCTAAACCCTAAACCCTTTTTGGAAAAAAACACATAATTTTCTCCAAGCCTTGGAGCTGATGTGGTGTGTGTCTGTGTGTGTGGTGCACTGCCTTTCACTTTGTGCGTGTGTGCACATACTAGGACCCAGAGTCGTCCCTTATTCCCGGTTTTAGGGTTCATTTAGGGTTTAGGGTTTATAGGGTTTAGGGTTTAGGGTTAGGGTTTAGGGTTAAGGGTTGGGATGTTCCGTGGCTATGGACAAGGCCATGTTTACGGTTGTTTACTCCATGTGTGGGATACCACACTGTGGCAGCCTCAAGCTGATGAACCACTTGCCGATGTTCTCCACCTCCCAGTTCGAAAGAATCATCATTTACCCCCTCCTGCTGCATGCTTTGAAGAAGTATACTGCAATGAAATGGAGCAGTTCCCATGTGCATCAAACGTGCAAACAAGAAGGCTGAGGCCTTTCATGATGCAACCAGTCACCACGGCCTATTGCATGCAAGCTGTCAGGGCTTGCATTCAACACCAGGTTGTCAACGAACCACCCTTTTGTCAAGACGTACAAGCAAGCTTGTGAAGCATTTGGCTTCCAACTGACAGGCATGCTCTTTGATGAGCACAGGGCTCTGGAGCAGCAAGATCATCATGAGCAGGGTCCAGCACAGGATGTAGAAGAACCTGCCCAAGCTCGGACCCCTATTCTACACCTGAATCACCTGAACCCTAATAAAGACCTTCAGTCCTGAACCCGACACCGTCCTAGGCAAGCCCTAAACTCATCCAAAACATCGATACGCCCTGAACCCCAAACCCTAAACCCTAAACCCTAAACCCTAAACCCTAAACCCTAAACCCTAAACCCTAAACCCTAAACCCTAAACCCTAAACCCTAAACCCCCCGAAAAGCGTGCCATGGCCTGTCCAGCAGGTCGAGACCGAAGCCGGCTTGGCCAACGTCCGCGAGATTGCCAAAGTCGAAGGCACCCTTAGCCTACCCCTGAAGGGGTTTAGGGTTGTAGGATGTTTGGGGTGTAGGTTTTTAGGGTTTTCGGGCTAATCTTTAGGCTTGTAGGATGTTTGGGGTGTAGGTTTTTAGGGTTTTCGGCTAAATTTCAGGGTTTTAGGGTTCAGGGTTTAGGGTTGAAGGGTGTTTGGGCTTTGGGATTTTAATGGTTAGGGTTGCGCTTCAATCATGTCGTGGTTTTTGGAAGTGGTGCTCTCTTTTTGGTTTACCCTCTACATATCAGGGGCCTCCGAGACCCTAAGCCCGTAAACACGGTAATCCTTCAACCCTAAGCCCAACATCCTGAAACCCTAAACCCTAACGGTTCTCAAGGGGCCCCTCTTGCAGCAGGGTAGGGGCGCGAAAAGGATGAAGGACTGCCGCCAGTAAACCCTGCACCGTAAACCATAAAAACCGCGGCCAATGATTTGCAGGTAAACCCTAAACCCTAAACCCTAAACCCTAAACCCTAAACCCTAAACCCTAAACCCTAAACCCTAAACCCTAAACCCTAAACCCTAGCAAAATAGCATGGGCCCGGCAGGCCTCGACATGGTCTTCTTTGCACCCGTGGAGCTCGCCGCGTCCGCGCCCCGCGGCCAGGAGGCGTTTTTTTTGGGGGGGTTTAGGGTTTAGGGTTTAGGGTTGGGGGGGGGGGGGGGGGGGGGTGGTGGTTTAGGGTTTAGGGGTTCGGGGTTTAGGGTTTAGGGTTTCACTGTTTCAGGGTTTCGGTGTTTTCAGGGTTTTGGGGTTTCGGGATTCTTGGTTTTGCGGGGCAGGGCTTAGGGTTTAACAACAAGGCGTCCTTTCTATCCTTCGGTCGCTCGTTTTGGGTTTTGGATAGCTTCAGTTTGCCCTGGTTAAAGGGGATCTTACTTAGGTTTAAGGTGTATAGGTTCTAGCTATAGTTTGCCCCGCACCCTAAAGCGTAAACTTTCAACCAAATAGTTTGGGGTTTACAGAGGAAGTCGATGTACAAATGAAGAGCACAAGACGCAAGAATACCAATAACCGCGCCAAAACGGTCAAGTCTCATAGAGTTATTAACTAAGGGGCCGTGTTATTTTCATATTAATAGTCATACACCATAATAGTAATAATCTTCATCGCAATAATAGTATGTTTTGCGCGCAATAAAAAATCACATACACCATTATTACAATGACTTCCTGGATGCTAGATTTTCTTGACTTATCACGTGATCTCTGAAAGCCCACCGAAGATCATTCTATTGCAGAAGCTACCGTGCTTATAACTAACTCTACGTATATCTGGCCATGAACCTCCAGGTAAAACCGTACAGCGACATGTAAGCAACGAGCATTCGAGGCCTAAAGCGTTACACCCTAAAACCCTCAACCCGAACACCCTAAAAAAACCCTAAAACCCTAAAAACCCCAAAACCCCAAAACCCCAAAACCCCAAAACCCCAAAACCCCAAAACCCTAAAACCCAAAAACCCGAAAACCCTAAAACCCTAAAACCCTAAACCCTAGACCCAACCCTAAACCCGAACACCCGAACACCCTAAAGCCCTAAACCCTAACACCCTCAAACCCTAAAACCCTCAACCCTAAACTGCGAAGGCAGGGCTGCTTCTGGCATTGGAAACTGCAGAGGCTCCGCGCCAGGGACTGGGGTTTAGGGGTTTCGGGGTTTAGGGCTTTAGGGGTTTAGGGTGTGGGGTTTGGCGGTTTAGGGTTTGAGGTTTTAGGGTTTTCAGGTGTTAGGGTTTAGGTGTGAAGCTTTAGGGTTTTAGGGTTCTAGGGTTTAGGGTGTTTAGGGTGCTCGGGTTTAGGGTTTTCAGGGTGTTTAGGGTTTTAGGGTTTGGAGTTTAGGGGTGATGGATTCAGGAGTTTTAGGGTTTTGGGGTTTTGGGGTTCAGGGGTTCAGGGTTTAGTGTTTCAGGGTTTAGGGTTTTTTGGGTGTTAGGGTTTAGGGTTTTTAGGGTGGAGGGTTTTCGGGTGTTAGGGTTTAGGGTTTTAGGGCTTTAGGGTTTTTAGGGTTTAGGGTTTTAGGTTGTGCCTATACGTGTCCCAGGCTCTTAAGGTAGTCTGTGGGGCAGGGACGTCGGCGTTCAACCCTGAACACTAAACCCTAAGCCCTGTTATGGGCTTCAAGCTTCCAGCTTTGGGTTAGGGTCTGGGGTCTGTTTAGGGTTTAGGGTGTAGGGTTTTTTGCGTGGAGTTTAAGGCCTACAAACCCTAAACCGCAAACCGCACAGGGTGCATGATCCTCGCGGATGCTCGTGGCCTACATCCAAGATGCGATGCTTTCGAAGTTTGTCAATCCAAAAAGCAAACAGCACATGACTTGAAAGCCTAAACCTCCAAACCCCAAACCCCAGACCCTAAACCCCCAAACCCCAGACCCTAAACCTTAAATGGCTTCTTTGGGTCCTTGTTATGAGGCGGCCCCTCTTATTTGGAGCACCCAAAACCTAGTTTAGAGTCTAGAGAACTGACAAAATGGCTGGCTAGCCCTAAAGGTCCCAGAGCGCCAGAACCCTTGAGAGGCTGAAGTCAAGCGGGCCAAGAAACTGCTTGGAGGTCGCCGGGCTTTCCAACAACCTCCAAACCCTGGCAGTATTGGCGTAGGGGCTAGGGTTTAGGGCTTAGGGCTTAGGGTATAGTATGTGTATAGGGTTTAGGGTTTGGGGTTCAGGATTTTTGGGGATCAGGGGTGAGGGTCCAGGGTTTGGAGCTTCGTGTTTGCTCTTAGCGCAAAACCCTTTACCCTAAAACCATCGGCCCACTCAACAACTCCTAGACCTGCTACGCCTTTCTTGCTCTTATAGGGACTGGGTAGGCAACCTTTAACCTTTTTGTTTGTATAGATGCTACTATAATGTACATTTTAACCTTTGTTGGGCTAGGGTATTCAGCCCCTAGGTACCCCAAAACCCACAAGACCCTTAAGCTTTGGTTTAGGGTTCAGGTTTTAGGGCTGCAACCTAAACCCTGAAGACCCCCTTCAAGCGAGGTGTCGTCATCCACTTTAAGTCCTCAGTAGTCGAGCAGGTAGCCTTTAACCTTCTCGCTGTGCTGCAATCCCTACGGAGTCCGAAAGGTATCCTGTAGTTTCTTAGGATGCTGGAGAACAAAGAGTCCCCTCAAAGCAGTGTCAACTGGGTTTTAAAACCCTAAACCCTAAACCCTAAACCCTAAACTCTAAACCCTAAACCCTAAACCCCAAGCACTCCAAGCACTCTAAGCACTCCAAGCACCCTAAGCACCCTGAGCCGTCGGCATGAAATTCTTGAACCCCAAACCCCAAACGCAGCTCAGCCCAAAGCATATCTCGGTGGAGGTTTGGGGTTTAGGGTTTAGGGTTTAGGGTTTAGGGTTTAGGGTTTAGGGTTTAGGGTTTAGGGTTTAGGGTTTAGGGTTTAGGGTTTAGGGTTTAGGGTTTAGGTCTTGTACCGTATCCTACCCAGCCCAGCATGCTAAGGCAAAGAGCAAGACAGGGGGGGAGGCCCACAGGCTACTCCCCATGAAGCCTACTACTTTGCCGCAAAGCTGTCAAGCCCTGAAGCACATCAAGCTGAAGAGTTGCTTTTGGAGGTTTAGGGTTTAGGGTTTAGGGTTTAAGGTTTAGGGTTTAGGGTTTAGGGTTTGGGGTTGCAGGGGCTTTCTAGGGGCTTAGATAGGTTAGTAGGGATTTCGGAAGCGGTTTATAGGTTTTTTGAGGCTTAGGCCTGCCGTGTAGGGTTTAGGCTTTGGGCTTTGCGGCTTGGGCTTTAGGGTTTGGGGCTTGTAGGGTTGAGGGTTTGTAAACCCCAAACCCTAAACCCTGAACCCTAAACCTAAACCCTAAACCCTAACCCTAAACCCTAAACCCTAAACCCTAAACCCTAAACCCCCGATGGGGTTTAGGGTTTAGGGGTTTGGGTCTAGGAGCTGTGGTCTCGGATTTCGGAGCCTGGGCCCCAAGGCCCTTCTTGGTAGCCCAGTGGTACCCTTTTGCCTTTTTTTAGTTCAGGGTTTAGGGTTTAGGGTTTAGGGTTTAGGGTTTAGGGTTTAGGGTTTAGGGTTCCTGTGTAAAGTAACCAGCCCCAAGACAAGGCTGTTGGGTTTGTGAGGGTTGAGGCTGAGGGTGTGCCTGTTGTTACCCTAAACCCCAAACCCCAAACCCCAAGCCCAAACCCCAAGCCCCAAGCCCCAAACCCCAAACCCTAAACCCCAAACCCCAAACCCTAAACCCCATACCCTAGACCCGAAACCCTAACCCTAAACCTAAACCCTAAACCCTAAACCCTAAACCCTAAACCCGAAACCTAAACCCCTAAACCCTCAACCGTAAACCCGTTTTTATGGAAGCAGGGTTTTAGGCTTGTGGGTTGCCGAGGGTGGAGGATTGAGGGGCTGTTTCGCCACCATCCCAAGCCCCCGAAACGACAGGCCATGACCCTAAACCCTAAACCCTAAACCAACTTTTGAAGCCTGACACATCGTGGCGAAGCCAGCGTTTCTGCAGACCTGGGACTTCCCAGGCCAGCTCGTACCCCCATGAGCACACTCCTTGCCGCAGCCTTTATGTCACAAGAAATTGAGGGGTGAGGGTATAGGGTTGAGGGTCCCTAACACCCGAAACCCTAAACCTTACCATGATTTCGGGGAATACCCCGCAACAATGACGGTTTTTTATAAGCTCTAGTCCGTCCATGTCTTTGCGTCTGGCAATGTCGCGAAAAAAAGCCCTCAGCCCTTTTTTTTGATGTCCGTTCGAGCTCGGGCGGTTGTAGACAAGCGTGGCACGTGTCAAAACACTCAACAAAGTCTGAGGATCCAGGGGTCCGAGCTCCCCATATTTCCAACTTGTGTTCAATATGCAAGCGAATAGGACTACCTTGATAGCATATACCTGGGCCCTAAAGGTACACTGCATGGGAACCCCTGAATACTTAAGGGCCTATTTTCTTACTATACACAGGTACATGGACCGCACGGGATTGTATACCAGTCGCAACTCCAAGAGTGTCTCTGCCACGCGAATGCTGGGGCTCTAGTTCGCCGATGAAAGTTAGGGTTTAGGGTTGAGGGTTGAGGGTTGAGGGTTGAGGGTCTGGGTTGAGGGTTAGAAACAAGATGTCCCGCAATCTCCCCGAGCACGTTTTCAAACGAGGCATGCTTGTGCCTGGCCGTTCGGCTGAGATGATGTTCGCCGCCGGCTATGACCTTTGGCGGTGTAGTCTATTTCGGTGTTTTGTTGGTGTTTTCGACCGTTCGTGGTCTTCGCATGAGGATTCTTCGAGCGGTTTTTGAAGATCAGGGGGTTGCCAGGTCGAATAGATTTCTGGGGGCCTGGGTATGGATTGGGCGGCTAGTGGGGCGTTCGTTTCGAAGTTGACGGCTTTGTTGCACAGGCCTTTGTGCTTGTTTTGTGTTTGCGGGGAATCCAGATCCTAGCAATCTTTCTGCGCTTGCGCTTGCGCGTCTACTGAGAGAGAGCAGACGGCAGTATGGGACACCTGCCAAGAACCACTGCTGCATCCTGATTCCCAAGCTCGAAACTATGAATCCATAAACCCTAAACGTAACCCCCCGGAACCACATAAGTTCCAACCTTTAACACTGAGTCTTTCTATGCTTTCTATGCTGAGCCCCTTGATCCTCAAGCCCTAGAACACACGGTTTAGGGTTTAGGGTTTAGGGTTTAGGGTTTGTGGTCCTTCAAAGATTTCAACCTCGAGCCCTCAACCCAGACCCCACGCTAGATTTTTGGTACCTAAAGGCCTACAAAGTGCGACGCCCCCTCCGTAGAACCCTAAACCCTAAACCCTAAACCCTAAACCCTAAACCCTAAACCCTAAACCCTAAACCCTAAACCCTAAACCCTAAGAGACCTCAGGACCTGGTTTGCACCACCAGCGACGTCATCCTGGTCCGCGCCGCCGCGGAGAACATCGCCGCTGGCCTCAGATTCTGAGTCTCCTGCACAATATGCCTAACTCCGGCGGGAAAATCTCTAAACCCTAAACCCTACACCCTAAACCCTAAACCCTAAACCCTAAACCCTTCAAATGGCCTCCATGCACATGACTGCGATTGCGATGGGCACCGGCGGCAGTTCCGAATGATACTGGTCCGGCTACGGAATGCCCCTGTGCAGGGACGTCTTCTTGTGGCATCCAGAATTACTTGAAGAGCCCGAAACCTGCATTTCTGTGTAGGCTCTTATTTATAGAACCCCTTATAGGATTCCGAGGCTACCTACAAAAAGGTGGGCTTTGTGGTTCTTAAACCCTAAACACTAAACCACAAACCCTAAACTCTAAACCTTATAAACCCCAAACCCCAAACCCCAAACCCTAAACCCTAAACCCTAAACCCCCGGTTTCATCCTGGGTGTCTGGCCAAGGTGCGCGAGGCAAAGCCCCCCGCCACAGGGCCCAAAGGCCCGTGGATGCTTGGAGCTGCCTCTTTTGCCTTTTCCAAACTACCCTAAACCCTAAACCCTAAACCCTTAACCCTTAACCCTTAAACCTAAACCCTAAACCCTACATCCCTAAACCCCTAAAGTTTAGGGTTTATGGTCTAGCGCTTAGAGTCTCGGAGCGGTCTCCTTTTGCCCCAACCCTTAAACCCTAAACCCTACATCCCTTGAACCCCTTAAACCCTAAACCCTACATCTCTTAAACCCTACAAGGGGGTTTCCGAAGATAGGGGTACCCTTGTTGGGGGTTCCTAAAACAAGGTTTATAGTATTTTTTTGGGGGGTATACTAGGGGGACCCCTGATCTTGAGAACCCCCCACATCCCTAAACCCCGAAACCCCACATCCCTTAAACCCCAAAACCCGCAAACCCTAAACGCATTCTTGAAGCGCGTCTCCTAGCCCCCTGCACCCCCAAACTCATTCCTGAAACCCCAACGACGCCTCAGAATCTGCACTTTGAAAGCTGAAACACGGGAAGTTTAACGCACTCTTCTGGCAAGCAGTAGTGGGAAAACCGCAAGGAGCAAAACAGCACACACACACACACAGACATAGCAGCAAGATCTAGCGCACTGCCCGCATAACTCCCTATGAAGCCATCAACGAAAGCAAGCCTAAACCCAAAACCCTGAACCCCAGGCAAATGCTAAACCCTAAACCCTAAACCCTAAACCCTAAACCCTAAAACCAGCCTACACGGACCCTTAAGCCGACGTGCGTAGGTGGCCTCGTTCGCTTTGTGACTTCTGGCCGGGAGGTGCAGGGTTTGGGTTTAGGGTTTGGGGTTTAGGGTTTGGGTTTTAGGGGTTTGGGGTTTAGGGTTTAGGGTTTAAACTTTGGGGTTTAGGGTTAGGGGTTAGGGGTTTTGGGATTTGGGGTTTGGGGTTTAGGGGCTTGTTTAGGGTTTGGTTGCGGGGCTTCGGGTTTAGGGGCTTAGTGGGTTCAGGGTGGTGCGTTTAGGGGTTGTGGTTTTGTGGATTAGTGGTTCGAGATTTAGGGTTTGGGGTTTAGGGTTGGGGGGTTTGAGGTTCAGATTCGAGGTACGGGGTTGAGGTTTCGGGCATCAGGGTTTGGGGTTTTTAGGGGTTTTATGTTTGGGTTGGCTTCGGAGCTTTAAACTTTAGGAACTTTAGGGTCTAATTCGGGCGTAGGCAACTCATTTTCAGTTGCCGAAATATTTTTGTCTTTGTTCTTATGTATTCTATACCTATCTACCTATCTCTCTCCTCTATCTCTACTATCCATCCATACATACATACATACATACATACATTGTTGCGCATGTTACATTTTTACATGCGCCTCCTGAGTATGTTAACTTCTTAGTAGTAGAGTGGGTAACCTTTAACCTTTTTGGGGTAATATAATCCCCTGATAATCCCAAAGGTTAACCTTTAGTTTCCCTAGGTACTGGAGTACTGGACAACTAAGACTTGATGGCAGTTCCTGATCATCAGCAGCCCAGAGACAGGGCTCGCAGGGGTACGCTGACCCTGGTCAGCCCTTTCGTTGTTTGGTTTCGGGTTTAGGGCTTAGGGCTTGGGGCTTAGGGCCTAGGGTTTAGGGTTTAGGGTTTAGGGTTTCGGGTTTACTCAGGGTTTAGGGTTTGGGGCTTAGGGTTAAGGGTCCAGGGCTAGGCGCCATGCGCCTTGTGCCTGAAGCTCCTGTGCTCACGATGGCAAGGAAGTTCGGCTTCATGCTCGGTTGAGCAGGCCACCCTAAACCCTCAATCCTAAATCCTAAACCCCTACACCCCGTTTTACTTGGTCGGTTTGCTGGAGGTCGGAATGGACGAGGAAGCACTCAACGATGGTGGCGTTGGTTCGCACTGCGCTTTAGGGTGTCGGATTTATGGTTTAGGGTGTGGCTATAGTCGCCTATCGGTTTGTAGGGTCTGGATTATATGCATATATGTGTATATATATATATATGTACATATACTATACATATACATACACATATATATATATATATACATATATATATATATATATATGTATACACATGCATATGTATGTCACGTTTATACGGCTAGAGGGCTTTGGATTTGTAGGATTCAGAGCTAGAGGGTTCAAGGGTTGATTCTTCAGAAGAATTATCTGGATGACAATCAGATGTGCCCCCCCCCCCCCCTCTCCCGCCCTGCCCTAGAGTTAATTCGGCTTCAGGCTTTGTTATTCACTTCGGCCCCTTTTTTGGGCGCTGAGGGTAGCTTAAACCTAAACCCACCTAAACCTTAAACCCTAAACCCTAAACTCTTGAACTGCAACCCGTTTGGGGCTGAAGGGTATTGTGGCGGGGAGGCCAAATTTGCTCGGAATGACGAGACGCTGGTGACAAGGCTCAAAAAGTCCAGACAGGCGCAGAACTGCTGAGAGTTTTTGAGGTCAGGCTTCGGGTTATGGTTTTGGATTTAGCGTCGTAACTTCTGTTTGTCGCTGTTGAGCATGAGATTGTCCCCGCTGCTTTGCGAAGTAGCCCCAGAGCTGCATCCCAAAAGACCCTAAACCCTCTAAACCCTAGCCTTAAACCAAAAAAGACCCCTAAACCCTTATCCCTACACCCGAATCCCCAAACCGAAACCCGATCCCCAACAAAACACCAAAGAACCCCTCCCGCCCCCCCCCCCCCCCCCAAAAAAAAAAAAAAAAAAGAGATAGAACAACAAGAAGAAAAAAACCTAGCCCCACACCCTAAACCCTAAACCCTTAAGAACTCTATATATATATATACATATATATATATTGTTTACCATGAATTTAAACAAAACAAAACTCCGGAGGCCCGGGCCCTGGGAGCCTTGGTGCGCCTGGGCTCCGCGGCGGCCGCCGAGCTGGTGGCCGCCTCCGGATTCGAGGTCCTTGGGAGGGAGGGTTTAGGGTTTAGGGTTTAGGGTTTAGGGTTTTAGGATTTAGGGTTTAGGGTTTTTGGGTTTTTGGGTTTTAGGGTTTAGGGTTTAGGGTTTAGGTTTAGGGTTTAGGGTTTAGGGTTTAGGGTTTTCGGGTTTAGGGTTTTAGGGTTTTAGGGTTTAGGGTTTAGGGTTGAGGGTTGAGGGTTTGGGTTTGGGGGGGTTTGGGGGTTTGGGGGTTTTGGGGTTTGGGGGGTTTGGGTTTGGGGGTTTAGGGTTTAGGGTTTGGGTTTTGGGTTTTTGGGTTTGGGGTTTGGGGTTTGGGGGTTTGGGGGTTTGGGGGTTTGGGGGTTTGGGGGTTTGGGGGTTTGGGGGTTTTGGGGTTTGGGGGTTAGGGTTTTAGGGTTTAGGGTTTGGGGTTTAGGGTTTGGGGTTTGGGGTTTTGGGTTTAGGGTTTAGGGTTTGGGGGTTTGGGGTTTGGGGTTTTGGGTTTAGGGTTTGGGGGTTTAGGGTTTAGGGTTAGGGTTTGAGGTTTTGGGTTTGGGGTTTTGGGTTTTGGGTTTAGGGTTGGGGGTTGTTTGGGGTTTAGGGTGTGGGGTTTTAGGGTTTGGGGTTTGGGGTTTTGGGGTTTAGGGGTTAGGGTTTGGGGTCGGGGTGTGGGGTTTGGGGTTTAGGGTTTAGGGTTTAAAAGGGTTTAAGAGGGTTTAGGGGTTTGGGGTTTAGGGTTTAGGGGCCGCCAAAACAGCGAGTCCATACTTTAATTTTGCAGACCTGAGCTGGCATGAACTTGCTGGACAACATCGTCGCCTTTTTCCAGCTGCCAGCTCTCTTCGTCCTGGTCGCCATTGCCCACCGGTGAAGCCTCTCTTCAACTCTCGCGCCGGCCATGGCGGTCCACTCGCGTCAGCAGCGCCGGGCTGAACGACAGAAGTCGTGGAAGGACGGCTGCCCCTAAACCCTACTGGAGAAGGACCCGAAGAAGCAGAGAAACATGGCTCGTGCCTATGTCTCCGATAGTGGGAACTTACCCCCCTGCGGCCAAGGAGGCCTTGGATGGGGGCAGGGTTTAGGGTTTAGGGTTTAGGGTTTAGGGTTTAGGGTTTTAGGGTTTTAGGGTTTTAGGGTTTTAGGGTTTTAGGGTTTTAGGGTTTTAGGGTTTTAGGGTTTAGGGTTTTAGGGTTTTAGGGTTTTCGGGTTTTAGGGTTTTAGAATTTAGGGTTAGCCCAGCAGAAGACACTTTTTATAAGGTTTTCGGGTTTAGGGGCTTCAGGCGTCTGGGGCGCATATGGCGGTGTTGGGTTTGGGGGTGTTTGGGATCTTGGGCCAGGGTTTGCTTAGGGAGTTTAGGCAGTTCGGGGAGTTGGGGCCTGAGAGAAGGTCTTTCAAATCCCTCCTAGGAAAAAAGGTTTTGGAGTGTGTGTGTGTGTGTGTGTTTTTTTTTTTTTTTAACCTGGGTTTAGGGGAGTTTTGGAGTTTGAGGGGTTTAGGAGAACTTGTTTTTGGTGGGGCTTCCGGGGGGGCTCAGGGCTTGGGTTGTTTTGTAGGGTTGTTTTGTGTTAATTCGTGGATTGTGGGTGGATTTTGGGGGATGATATTGCCGGATTCAGGGTTTTTAGGGAGCTTATGGAGTTTAGGAGGTAGAGGGCTCCGGGCTGGGATGTTCAAACCCTAAACCCTAAACCCTAAACCCTAAACCCTAAACCCTAAACCCTAAACCCTAAACCCTAAACCCTAAACCCTTCTACTAACAATCCCTCATAGGGATTAGAATGGGGGTAACTAGAATCCCGATTACAGACTGTTAGGAAGCCGCGGCCTGTGCATGTGTGTGAAGATTCCCCAACAGGCTCTGAAGGTGTAGGGTTTAGGGTTTAGGGTTTAGGGTTTAGGGTTTAGGGTTTAGGGTTTAGGGTTCAGGGTTCAGGGTTTAGGGTTTAGGGTTTAGGGTTACCCTAAAACCCCTGGCCCGGGGACCTCTCTCGAAGGGCAACCTAGGCCCTTTGTAGTACCCGCTATTATTATCTGATACTCCTCTTCGGGGACCTCTCTACCTAAGCCCCTAAACCCGAAACCCTAAACCCTATAAACTCTATAAGCCCTATGAACACGATAAGCCCTTTCAACCCTACAAGCCCTATAAACCCTATAAACCCTACAAACCCTATAAGCCCTATAAACCCTATAAACCCTATAAACCCTATAAGCCCTATAAACCCTATAAACCCTATAAACCCTATAAGCCCTATAAGCCCTATAAGCCCTATAAACCCTATAAACCCTAGAAGCCCTATAAACCCTATAAACCCTAAACCCCCTTTCACAGGTCGTCGTCCTGGACCACTCCCGCGGCGCGGAAGACCTACTCGGCGCCTTGGCGGTAGGGTTGAGGGTTGAGGGTTCAGGGTTCAGGGTTCAGGGGTTTAGGGTTAGGGTTTAGGGTTGAGGGTTGAGGGTTGAGGGTTTAGGGTTTAGGGTTTCTTCATAGGGATTATAGTACCCCATATTCTCATCTTTTTTCAGGACTGTTAGTAGAATCGGGAACATCCCAAGGTTGGGTTTTAGAGCATAGGGCGAAGCCCTGAGCCTTGATTCCCAAAACCCTGAGCCCCAATCCCCTGCACTCGTGGGTGTTCGTTCTGCGAAGTTACACCCTAAACCCTAAACCTTAAACCCTAAACCTGAAACCCGAAACCCTAAACCCTTGTCTTACTCTGCGCGACTCACGGAGATTTTTATTCCTTGGGGGTGTGGGGCAGAGCTTTGCCTCTACCGCCGGGCTCGCAGGGGGGTTAGGGTCTTAGAGTCTGGGGTTTAGGGTTTCGGGTTTAGTGTTTAGGGTTTGGGGTTTAGGTCGAACAACTTGTTGGGCTTGAGTATCATGGGCGTAGGGGTCTAGGAGCGAAACGTGCTTTCTAGGTTTGTGAGGTCTATACTTGGAGTGAGGAAGAAGCAGGGTTGGTAAGGTGGGTTATGGAGATGATAAGAGAGTTTCTAGGGAACTCAGAGCAGACTTGCCAAGTCCAAAGAGCTTCCCTGCAAGGTTTCAGGGCAATCCCAGAATCGCCATTGCAGCTTTAGTTGTCCGCGATTACGCCCTAGACCCGAATTGATTTTGCTTAGCGCGATTACGGCCTAAACCCGAAATCCCTATAAAGCCCTAAACCCTCAACCCTAGAACCTCCAAGCCGCCCGGTGCTCAGGGGCCGTTGCTCTCGTGCATGCCGCATCGCGGGCAGGGGCTCACTCGCTGATGCGAGTGCCGGCCACTGGTCCTATCATAGGGCAGCCCTTGGTATGGGTTCAGGGTTTAGGGGCTGTAGGGTTCAGGGTTTAAGGCTTTTAGGGTTTCAGGGTTCAGGTAGTTTTGTATAGGGTTCAGGTTTTCTTTAAGGGCAATTTGCCCCATGATCCTGAAATCCCTAGACCTAGACCTCTCCTAGTTAGACCCGACACCCCTGAACCCCCAGCCCCTACTTCCTAAACCTTGACCAAAACCCTAAACCTGAAACACTAAACCCCTAAACCCTATTTCCTACACCTTAAACACCTAACCCCTAAAACCTGAAACCCTTCCATGCCTGAGCGCCTGAAACCCTAACCCTAAGCTAGGATTGTTTTGGGATTGCTTACTGTTGGTTAGTAGGGAATAGGAGAATGAGGTACCCTATATAATCCCTTAAAGGGTTTTTATAGGGCCCTAATTCCCTCACTCTCTGCTAACCAACAGTAATGTTAGGGAATGGGTGCGAGTCTCCGGCCAGCACAACCAGGATAAGGAAAGGCATATGGTCCTCCTAAGAAAACCCAAGTCTGCTTATTTTGCTTGTAGGCTGTTGTTGGGTTTGGGGTTCAGGGTTTCGGGTTCAGGGTTTAGGGTTTAGGGTTTAGGGTTTAGGGTTTAGGGTGGCCTGATGGCTATTCGGGTTCTTCATCAGAAAAGAGCATGCCCCAGTCCCTAGTTACCTTAGGGAAGAGGGAGCCAGAGGGAGTAGTAGGAAGCATTCAGGCACCTTTGGGTTACATACCTTCTTGAACCCCCCCTCCCCTACGGACCCTATAATGGTTTATCCCTTATGTGGGTTGGTGGTCTCTTTAAGTGGGGTCTTTGTTTTATAGGGTACATATATCGGTATAAGGGTAACAGATAAAGAGGCCACCGGCCTTTACATTTTAGACCCCTGTGCATCCACACCGGCAAGTTTACTTTGCCGTTCACAAAGCGTCGCCTCCGGCCTGGCGCCACTCAAAGACGGCCTCTGCCGCGCCGTCGCAGAAGCCGCCGTCGCGTCGGAGGTAGGCACGGGCTGTAACGCAAGGCAGACCCTGGCGTACGTCGCGGACACCATGGCCAGCATCCACGCCGACATCACGCACCACCGCCGGGCGCTCTACGCACAGTACCCGGCCGATGTTGACCGGCGTAGGGGCCCCCATCCCAGTCAAATTAATGAGTACATGGCATGGCATATGGGTTGAGGGTTTTATGCTAGCGTTTAGGATTTCAGTTTCGGGTTTAGTTTGGCGTGCAGGGTTCAGGGTTTATGTGAACCCCCAAGCCCTAAACCGCCCCTAAGCCCTAATCCCGAGACCCGAATCCGCCAAATCCCTCTAAAAAGCCCTCTCAAGCCCTAAACCCCAAAACCCCTAAAACCCTAGCCCTGAGCCCCCAAAATCCTAAAACACTAAATTTTAAATCCCCAAACCCTGAACCCTAAACCCATCAACCCTCTGCCTGAATCCCTAGCCCTAAGCCCGAAATCCGAAAACCCCAGCAACTAAACCCCAAACCCCTGGACCCTAAAGCCTATACCCCCTAAACGGTAGCACTAAACCCCATATCGCTGGAGCCTCCCCCTTATACTAACAGTCCTTGATAGGGATTGTAATAGGGCGTACTGTACACCCTAAACCCTCTACCCTAAACCCTCTACCCTAAACCCTCTACCCTAAACCCTAAACCCTAAACCCTAAACCTTAAACCCTAAACCCTAAACCCTCCCAGAATCTTTCCAGGCTTTGAGCCAGGCGCACCTCCGCCGGGCCCTGCAGGTTGGCGTTGAAGGCGTCAAAGTTTGGGGTTTAGGGGTCTAGGGTTTAGGGTTTAGGGATTAGGCTTTAGGGTTTAGGCCTCAAAGTTTATGGTTTAGGGTTTGGAGTTTAGGGTTTAGGCCTCAAAGTGTAGGGTTTAGGGTTTTATGCCTCAAAGTTTAGGGTTTAGGGTTAGGCCTCAAAGCTTAGGGTTTAGGGCTTAGGGTTTAGGGTATAGGGTTTAGGGTTTAGGGTTCGGGGTTTAGGCCTCAAAGTTTGGAGGCTCTTATTATGAGAGTTGATGAAGAATCTTGTCGCAAACAGTACTCGGGATAATTTTAAATTTCCTTAGTTTCCTTACAAGTGAACCTGTTCCCGAAAAACGTGTAGGGTCTAAACCGGGTTCAGGGCAGATTCCCTAAGAGTAGTTGCATGGTCCCTGAGTATGGTCTCTTACCCTAAATCCTAAACCCTAAACCCTAAACCCTGAACCCTAAACCCTAAACCCTAAACCGAAGGGGTTCCTACAGAGGGTTCTGAGTTCTGAAGTTGGGCCCTTGGGTTGTATCATATAGAATCCCTAAGGGCCCATACTAAGAGACCATGTGCCTACGTACCATAAAGAGATAGGATTTTTAGGGTTTAGGGATTTAGGATGTAGGGCTGATGGAAGTTTCGGGTAGATATAGGCTTTTGTGTAGATACATGGTTTAGGGTTGAGGGTTTAGGTTTAGGGTTTGGGGTTTGGAGTTTAGGTTTAGGGATTAGGGTAGGTTGATGTCAGGTTCTGCGGTTTGGGTACCCGCAGGGGTTTAGGATTTAGGGCTTAGGGCTTAGAGGGGTGTTGAAGGCCTCAAGCGGCTTTTTGGGAGGGGGTTTCGGGGTTCAGGGTTTAGGGTCTGTAGGCTTTATTCTTCAGGCTATACACAGCTTATTTGGGATCATCAAGCCATTATGTGGGGAATATGGGCTTGGCTGTTACCACAAACCGTGTGCCCTGATATCCAAACAGCCACCCCCCCCCCCCTCCTCACCCTAAACCCTAAACCAAAAACCCTATAACTCCTTGTGGAAACCCATGCGGCTGCAGGGATCATCCTCCCTGGCGTCGAATCAGCGGAGGCGGTTCATGGTTTTCAAATGTTTTGTGCATGGTTTAGGGTTTTTAGGGTGTTAGGGTGTTAGGGTGTTAGGGTTTAGGGTTTAGGGTTTCTTTCAAGGGACTAAAGGAGGGACCCTGCTTAGGTGTATGGCTAGTATATGTGGGTTTACGACATTAGGGGCACCTTCTTGGGCCCTGATTGTAAGGGATTCCTAGCATTTGGGGTGTATACTAGGGGTCCCCTATTTTCGTAAACTCCCAGATAGGGACACTATGAGGTATATATAGGGGTGATAAAGGGGGGAATAAGATGAAGGGCGCTTTTGAGGGGTCACTCCTTACACCGTAGGGTTTGCAGCAGATGTCGAGTGGTCGAGTGGTGTCGGGTTTGAGGGTTTTTGGGGGTTTGGGTTCTTAGGCTGGCCACTTGCCCTCCCCCCTCCCCCCTCCCCTTCGCCCCTCCCCACTTGCCCTACCCCCACGGTTGAGGATATACTTCGCTGTGGATTCTAATTAGAGATCAAGCTTCAAGGTTCCCCCCGAATTACGCGTGGTGGCCGGGACTAGGGCTTTACGGTTTAGGGCCGAAGGGCCTCGGGGACGAGGGCGTGGGGCGTTGAGGGCTTATGGACGTTAAAGGCTCGGGAGGTCTAGGCCTGCGTTGGTGGGGCTTTGGGATGTTTAAGATTTCGGGTTTAGGGTTGACGCCATGGCCAAAGCCCACAAGCCACCAAATCGAGAGGAGCACCGACACCCATGGCTCAGCTCAAACAAGCCTGAGAGCTCGGACTGTGCAGGCCCCCCCCCCCCAAAAAAAAAAACCCTAAACCCTGAACCCTTAACTCTTAACCTCAGCCCTTAACCCTTAGCCCTTAATTAACCCTGAACCCTAAACCCTAAACCCTAAACTCCAAACAAACCCGCGGAGGAGGCGCACGCCCTTGTGGAGCTGTGCCTGTATCCCTCCAGGACTCCTGGCGGGTCCGGGCTTGCGCTTCATTGTTCAAGGTTCAGGGTTGAAAGTTGAGGGTGTAGTTTTTGGTTTTTAGGGTTTAGGGCTTACACTAGAGCCCCACACCCCAACTAAACCCCCAAAGAACCGCCTTCAAGTGGCCCATGAACCCAAACTCCAGGGCATGTACGCCATCATGACGGGTAGTTCGCGGGTCCAAAACAGCACTACAACCGAGCATTCGACCCGGATACCCTCAATTGCACAACTTGCCTTGTGGACTCCACTAGGTAGGACCCTGGGAGGTTTCAGAGTTTCCCCTTTGTGGTACTTTACTGCAACTTTAGATCCTTACCTTTTTTGGGCTTATTGGGTTTCTTATTAAGGCAGCTAAAAGTTTAATCTATAGCTACCCTCCTGAGTGCAGCCAAGTTCCTCATGGCGTTTAGGGAGCACTCGATTTGGGAATTATTTGCCGGGAGAGGTTCGAGTAGCAAATTGTGCCTGATCCCGAGTTTTGGTGTTCATTTGGTCCCTACACCCCTAAACCCTAAACCCTAAACCCTAAACCCTAAACCCTAAACCCTAAACCCTAAACCCTAAACCCTAAACCCTAAACCCTAAACCCTAAACCCTAAACCCTAAACCCTAAACCCTAAACCCTAAACCAACCCGACCGACCCGACAGATTTTCTGGATCCAACACCCAAGCCCGGCGCCGCAGGAATCTCCGCGACGACAGCCACGCTGCTGAGGTGCTGCCGCCCCTAAACCCTAAACCCGAAACCCTAAACCCTAAGCCCTAAACCCTAAGCCCTAAGCCCTAAACCCTAAACCCTAAATTCTTTGTTCCCCGTAACCCTAAACCCCTAACCCCGAATCCCGAACGCCTAAACCCTAACACATAGACCCTACACCCTTGTTGGCGTTAGTGACTGTTGTGAAAGGAACCCGGTTCCCTTATTGGAATATGGTTACCGGGCTACCCGTAGAGGGTACCGAGTCTGCGGTGTAGGGTTCAGGGCCGCTGCATGCTCATTAAGTCATGTCCAAGAAACGGCTCCAGATAAAGATGTGTCCCCACGCCACATGTATCAGTCTGCCTGTTCAAGTGGGGTTTAGGGTTTACTTGGAGGTTCAGGTACTCAGGAACCCAAGTATAACTGTCTTAAGGGGCTTACATGTGCGTTATAACTACACTTATAGTGGGTTACGAAGTGCCCCGAACCTCCAAGCAGGGTTTAGAATATGTAACCCAATTGTCCCAAATGCGCCTCACTCCTCCCGAAGGCTTCCCAAGCTTCCAAGGAGTCGTGGCCTGAACTTACTCCCTCGACCCCCTAAGCACTGCATTCAAGGTTTAGGCTTTATAGGTTTAGGGTTTCGGGTTTAGGGTTTAGGGCTTAGGGGTTAGGGTTTGTAAGATTTAGGGTATATACGGTCGGGGGATGAATCACCGTAACTAAGCGTTGTTTGTATCGCTCAGGTTCAGATCTGACTGCTTGTGGAACCTCTAGGAGTAGGCGCAAATTTTTGGGTTTAGGGTTTAGGGTTTAGGGTTTAGGGTTTAGGGTTTAGGGTTCCCTTCCCTAGCAGCCCCTTTAAAACCAAAAAGGCTTCTTTTTTATTTCCTTGGCTACTCTTGGGTTTAGGGCTTAGGGCTTAGGGCTTAGGGCTTAGGGTTTAGGGTTTAGGGCTTAGGGCTTAGGGCTTAGGACTTAGGGTTTAGGGTTTAGGGCTTAGGGCTTAGGGCTTAGGGCTTAGGGCTTAGAACTTAGGGCTTAGGGTTTAGGGTTTGGGGTTTGGGGTTTAGGGTTTAGGGTTTAGGTCTTTGGCATGCTTCTGCTTTGTTGTCGCATGTTGCTTCTAGGCCCTCCTTGGAGGTTCATGGTACCTAGTAACCCAATTCTAGATGCACTTGTAACCCAGTGATAGCTTATATGTGGGCCATACCTGCACTTATAATGGGTCACAAAGTACCCTGAACCTCTAAGTAAGCCCCTCAAACTCAAACAAACACACACACACACACAATATGAACCCGGGCTGCCTAAATTTCCTCATGCGGTCTAAGACTTGGGAGGCTCCCCCTTACTAACAGTCCTTTTATAGGGATTAATCAGCATAGGGGGTACTACAATCCCGATGAAGGATTGTTAGTATATGGGTGAACATCCCAATCTAAAGCCCACGACTCCTAAGTAACTTCATGCTCCTCAACTCCAAAAAAAGCAGAGAGGCGCGTCTCAAGAACCAGCCCTTCCGACGGATGGACTTCAGTTTCGCTGGGAAGCCTAGGGTTTGTGAGGATTGTTTAATCAAAAGTCTCGTTGAGCTTAGTTTGTTTTTTGAATTGAAGTTTATTTTGGCGTTTGGATCCTTAGTTGTTTCTTCTTACGGTATTTTGTATGAGTTTTTTACTGTGGTTGGTATTTTGGGGGGCGAGGTATCTTAGAAGGTTTGTAGGTCTGTTTTTTTAGAGGTCGGAACTGTTTAGGTTTTGGTGTTGAGTAACTTTAGAGTGTCTTAGTAGCTGAATGAGTACACTTTACACTTATTAGGATACAATAACCCCTTACAAAACTGAAAGTGGACACTTTTTTGGGGCTTATGAACTCAGCAACTAAGGTTTAGATTTCGAGTTTTAGGGCTTTGATCTGTGGAGGTTGAGTCCTTGGCTGCGGGTGCTGCAAGTGAGGAGCCCAACTAGGGTTCAGAGTTAACTGCGTGCCGAGCGCATTGGGGGTTCGGAATTTTCCCCATATCTAGCTACCCTGTTTAGGGGTTTAGGGCTTTAGGGTTTTGGGTTTAAACACGTGGGAGCATATTGGTGCTGCAAACCAGGCAAGGGAGCGCGGAGGCGCTGCAAGCCAGGAAAGGGGGCGCGAAGGCGCTGCAGACCAGGTAAGGGAGCGCGAAGGCTCTACGAACCAGGTTAGAGAGGTGCGTCATTGCATGACCAAGAAGGACAGCTACCTTCAGTTCCCCAATCCACACGTGGCGTCAGGAAGACGGGCACAGCAGGACGTTGAGGCTTGCTGCGATGTGGATTCCAGTGGCTGCAAAAGTGCTTTATCCAAAGTTTGGAGTTCATAGATTGTAGGGTGCTTAGGGGTGGGGGGTTCATGGGGGGCAGGTACCTAGGGAACTTTAGGGAAGCTGAGGAAGCCTGAGGGAGGTGGGGAGTATTCGGGAACCAACTCCCGACGAGTAGGGCACCCTTATTGTAATATGGTTGCTGGGCTACCAAGCAGCCCCCTAAACCCTAAACCCTAAACCCCCAACCCTTAAGCCGAGCGCTCCACCCCTTTGCAGGACTTGAGTTGACGTTGCGGGGCTGGGGGATGAGAAGGGCCAGCACACCAGAAGCCCTAAACCAAGAGCTTATTTAGAGTGCTGTGTCAATAGCTAAACCCTAAACTCTAAACCCTGAGCCCTGAACCCTGAACCCTGAACCCTGAACCCTGAAACCTAAACCCGAAACCCTGAGTCCCAAAAACCCTAAGCCAAGCTCGACAGAATCGAAAAGCCCTAAGCCCTGCCTTAAGAACCCCAACCCTACCTTCGCTCTTGCCTTTTGCTGTAAGAATCCTTGGGATTTGTGTTTAGGGTTCAGGGTCTAGGGTTTAGGCACAACAAATGGGTGTTTCAAACCTAAAGCCCCAGGCCAGAAAAGAGAGTGAGAGAGAAGACTGTAAAGCAAACACACATCTTGGACTTATATCACTTGGTAGTAGAGTATATAGGTAGCCTTTAACTTTTTAGGTTTTTGGGTTCTTATTTTCCCTTATCACCCCAAAGGTTAACCTTTAGTTCACCGAGGATACTGGACAACTGGGATCAAGCATTCTGTTGAGGACAAAGATGAGGAGGTAAGCCCCTGGGCGGTAAGCTCTGATACTAGCCTTTATAAGCCAAAAAGGGCACCCTTCTTATTCCTAGGTTACTCTTGGGTCTAGCCCGAAACTCTAAAGCCTAATCCCTCCCCCCCAAACCCTTTTGATTCCCAGGCTACTCTTGGGTGCAGTCCTAAACCGAATTCCCCCACCCCAACCCCAAACCCCTGCATTCTTCGGATACTCTTGGGACCTCAACAGCATCCCAAGGCCCTAAACCCTAAACCCTAAACCCTAAAACCCGAAACCCCAAACCCTAAACCCCAAACCCTAAACCCCAAACCCTAAATCCTAACCCCTAATTAAACCCTAAGACCCTAAAACCCCAAACCCCAAACCCCAAACCCCAAACCCCAAACCCTAAACCCTAAACCCTAAACCCTAAACCCTAAACCCTATTCTTAGGCTACGCTTGGGACCTGAAAAGTATCCCAAGGCCCCTCCACTGGTCGAGTTTTACGGCCAGCGCGTGGCCGAGTTCAGCCGGAGGCCGGTCCGAGGGATTTGAAGGTGTCGGGGTTTAGGGTTTAGGGTTTAGGGTTGAGGGTTTAGGGTTTAGGGTTGAGGGTTTAGGGTTTAGGGTTTAGGGTAGTAGGGTTTCTCATGGGACTCTACCTTGGACGCCTTTCTTCTCAGATTCCTACAACCTTATAGGGTTCAGGGTGGTAGGGCTTAGGGTTCATAGGCTGCAACCTTATAGTGCTTAGGGTGTATAGGGCTTAGGGTTCATAGGCTGCAACCTTATAGGGCTGAGGGTGTATAGGGCTTAGGGTTCATGCGTTTTTTTTCTCTGTGGCCTTTCAAAGGCGTGCGAAGTCCTCTGAGTCCCGGGAAATCCCCTGCCCCTCCGTCGCCCCCCCCTTCCCACCCCTCACTAAACGCCTTGATGCTCAGGATCTTATGCGAACTCACTTGCTCCCTAAAGACTAAGCCCCAAGCCCTAAACAGTCAATCCATTCAATCCCTTCAGTCCTTTAAGCCTTCTTGATTGCTGGGATTGTTTTGTGGGGAGGGGGCTTGTTGGGGCTTTAGGGGTTTAGGGGCTTTTAGCCCCGAAGCCCTGAAACCCTAAAACCCCAAAACCCTAAACCCCAAAACCCTAAAACCCCAAAACCCGAAAACCCCAAAACCCCAAAACCCCAAAACCCTAAAACCCCAAAACCCTAGGGGGTTTTAGGTGTAATTATTCTAAAACCCCAAAACCCGAAAACCCTAAACCCTAGGGGGTTTTAGGTGTAATTACTCTAAAACCCCAAAACCCTAAAACCCTAAACCCTAGGGGGTTTTAGGTGTAATTACTCGGTTTGGTGCCCAGTGCCAGGCAAGGCGAAGCCCTGCTGATCGCCGCGCAGGTGGCGGAAATGACGTGGAAGGAGTGTGGGGTTTAGGGTTTATAAGGTCTAGGGGGTTTAGGGTTTAGGGTTTAGGGTTTAGGGTTTAGGGTTTGGGGTGTAGGGTTTAGGTTTCGGAATCAAAGTGTTTAGGTTTTTGGGGTCTAGGGGGCTCTCTGGCTACTCCGAACCGTACACAAGGCCCCTGCAATACTCGCGGCATCGTCATCGGGTCCATGCCAGTATAACGACAACTAAGAACGCATTGCCATAAAACAGCCTCCCAGGCTTTTCCAGATCCAAATAAATACCCCAAACCCCAAGCCCTAAACCCTTAACCCAAATAACATGTTTTTGCGCGGCTTCGGTGATTGGGGGTACCTTAAGAACCCAAAACCCGGCATTTTGTAGGTAAATTCATATGAAGCCTCCTTGTAGGGTTCTTCGGTAGCCTACGAAGAAGCAGGTTTTGGGTTCTTCTAACCCTAACCCCTAGACCCTAAATCCTAAACCCTAAACCCTAAACCCTAAACCCTAAACCCTAATCGGCTCCCGCGGCAGGGCTTGGGGGCGTTGGTTGGGTAAGGGATGACCTCGGGCGCCTTTCCGGAATGACGTCCTGGAAGGGAAGACGGCCGGGTTCGGCAGCCCTGCCGCGGGAGCCGATTAGGCTTTAGGGTTTAGGGTTTAGGCACTCAGCTCATTGGCGAATTGGCGAAGGATGACGACCCAATTTGTAAAAAACAAGAAGCTCGAAGCCGGCCCACGAAGCGGTCCTTTCGGGTTTTTGTGTGGTGGGAGGGGTTTAAGGCTTAGGGTTTTAGGCTCTGGTCGGGGGGGCTTAAGGTTTAGGATGTAGGGATTTGAGCAGAATAAGTTTAGGGTTTGGCAACTTCAGGTTTTGGATCCGGGTGTGGAGACTTGACGGTGCTGTGAGGGATTGCAGCTGTAAGGGCCGTTCTCTAAAGTCGACGTCATTTTGGAGCCCTGTGCTAAAGCGAACCGCTTCTGATGGACTGTTAGGGTCCGGGCTTTCACCCCTATCTTTCCCTAGAAAGCCCATATTATGTTTATGCCTAAACCCTAAACCCCAAACCCTAAACCCTCAACAGTATCAACCCTAAACCTTTCGATGCTCTGCCAGGCCCCCCCCCCCCCCCCCCCCCCCCCCCCCCCCCCCCCCCCCCCCCCCCCCCCCCCCCCCCCTCCTCCCCCCCTAAACCTTAAACCCTAAACCCTAAACCCTAAACCGCCCCTCCGAATAAGTTTTCGTCCGAAGCGTCAGGTGGATTCGCCTGAGGGTGCGGCTCACATCCGCGAGATCGTCAAGGCGAGGACCCCCCGAAACAACCCCAAAAGCCTTGGGGGGTTTTAGGGGTTTTAGGGTTTAGGGAGTTTAGGGTTTTGGGGCTCAGAGTTAAGGGTTTTTAGGGTTTTAGGGTTTTCAAGGGTGTTTAGGGTTGAGGGCTCTTTAGTTTTTAGGGGTTTGGGATTCTAGGGGTTTAGGGTTCTAGGGATTTTAAGGTTCAGGGTTCCATCTAGGGTTGTAGGGATTCAGGGTTTTGGGGTTTTGGGGGTTTTAGGGTTATAGGGTTTGGGTTTAGAGTTGCGGGGTTTAGGGTCTCAGGGATTTATGGCTCTAGGGCTTATAGGGTTTTGGATTTAGGGTCTACATTGCAAGGTTGTCGGCATAATTTTGGTTTCATGTTGGGCTCAGGGTTTAGGGTCTCAGCGCTTAGGCTTTTAGGGTTCACAGGTTTGTGGGCGTGGGGTTAAGACCACGATACCCGAATGCCTGGACCTTAGACATTACCTTAAAAGCCTAAACCCGCAACCCTAAATCCTAAACACCACGAAGCCGTCCAACCGAACCTCCAGCCACAGGTTTACTTGCAGCTTCGGGGTGCTTGTGTCAGCAAACTATAAGTGCGCCTGCAACCCGAGCTATAGCTAAGTTGGGGGTTTGGGGTCTAGGGTTTATGGGTTTAGTTTAGGGTGTCAGGTTTAGGGTTTAGGGTTTAGGGTTTGGGGGGGAGGGGGGGGGGCATATCAATGGGGTTTCAACCAGCACTTGTACTATCCCCAGATCTTCCATAATCCTGTACATGAGGAAGATCCCCTCAAAAATCACACTACATGCCTGAGGGGCTATCTAGGGTTGAGGGTTTAGGGATTATGGGGTAAAGGGATCTTGTGTCTTGGCCTATAAGACTCAGGAGAAAATCCATGAACAACTTACCGGCTCTTCGTAGGGAAGGAGGAGGGATATTAGGGACCCCACAGAATCCCTCAAAGGACACAAGGACCCAGAGCAGGCCCCCCCTCCCTTTTGTTCAGGGTTTAGGTTCCCTCATCGGCCTCGACACAGTCAGCTGCCATATTACTCGCCACCATCGTTCAAGCTTGCAGTTCTGACACCCGTTTGGGTTTAGGGTTTAGGGTTTAGGGTTTAGGGTTTAGGGTTTAGGGTTTAGGTTTAGGGTTTAGGGTGTAGGGTTTATTGTTTAGGGTTTGGGGTTTACTCTTTTAGAGTTTAGGGGTCAGGCCTGGAGATTATTTGTTGGAAGCCGGTGCCGTCAGAGGAATGGTGGAGCTAGAGCTGTGTCACCCACTCTGGAACGCCTTCACACGTTACCCTAAACCCTAAACCCTAAACCCTAAACCCTAAACCCTAAACCCTAAACCCTAAACCCTAAACCCTAAACCCTAAACCCTAAACCCTAAACCCTCACCAACCTGGACACCAGCGTTCTGAAGCTCACCATACTGTGGCAACTTTGCTTAGTAGTAGAGTGGGTAACCTTTAACCTTTTTGGGGCAATATAATCCCCTGATAATCCCAAAGGTTAACCTTTAACCTTTAACCTTTAACCTTTAACCTTTTTGGGGTAATATAATCCCCTGATAATCCCAAAGGTTAACCTTTAGTTTCCCTAGGTACTGGACAACTAAGTTTGCGCACGGCAGCTTCAAGAATGGCGACGGGTTTTGGTCCAGGAGAGCGGTCATTGAGCACTAATTACTTGACCTAACCCCCCCCCTAAACGTAGGTACGCCTAATTGGGGTCCTTTTTACAAGGAACCCGCCCTACTATTTGGGGGTTTATACTAGGGGTCTCTCATGTTCGTATACACTCATTTAGAGTGTGGGGTTTAGGGGTTTAGGGGTTCAGCGGTTTATGGTTGAGGGGGTTTGGGTTTAGGGGTCTAGGGTGTAGGGGTTTGGGGTTTTTGGGTTTAGGGGTTAGGGGTTTTGGCTTTGGGGTTTAGGGGTTTCGCGGTTTAGGGTTCAGGGTTCCTAGGGTTTAGTTCGGGCTGCGGGTTGAGGGTTTAACAGCAGATGTTGTGAATGAGCTCCTGGCTCAAGGCCGGTTATTGCAATTCGCCCTAAAACCTGAACCCTAAATCCTAAGACCCTTAAACCCTACAACCCTAAACCTTGAAACTCTGAAACCCTAAACCCTAAACCCCTAAAATCCTAAACCCCTAGTTAAGCCCTATAGGCCCCCCAAACCCCCAAAACCACAAGGCCTTAACCTCGAAACCCTAAACCCCCAAACGAACGTTCGGAGGGCTTGGGGTTTAGGGTTTAGGGTTTAGGGCTTGGAGTTTAGGGTTTAGGGTTGAGACTTTAGGGCTTAGGGTTTAGGATTGAGAGTTTGGGGCTTAGGGTTGAGGGTTTAGGGCTAAGGGCTTAGGGCGTAGGGGAGGGCGAAGGGCTGCAAGGTGGAGGGCATCGACATGATCTTCGTGGATGCCATGCGACTCTCAGGTGCCCTGTCGAGGGTTCTTGCTTAGGGTTCCCAAGGGTTCTAACTTGGCAGGCCCCCCCATTTAGAAGACATCTGGTGCCATGCTCTATCAAGTCAAACCCTGCACCCCATGGGTTCAGCTTTTAGGGTCTGTAGGGTTTAGGGCTCAGGGCAGCCTGTGGGTTTTTGGGGCTTGGGGTCCTTGCTTCGTGGTTTGGGGTTGAGGGTTAGGGTTTAGGGTTTAGGGTTTAGGGTTTAAGGTTTAGGGTTTAGGGTTTAGGGTTTAGGGTTTAGGGTTTAGGGTTTAGGCCTCTTGTGGTTTTCTTTCTCCGCAGGCGCGGACGTCGAGCGCATCGAGACAGCCGCGAAGAAGCACCACAGGCATCAGCCATCTGAGGGTTCGGGGTTTCAGGGTTCAAGTGTGTTTAGGGTTTGGGGTTTCAGGCTTCAGGCGTTCAGAAAGTTTAGGGTTTAGGGTTTAGGGTTTAGGGTTTAGGGTTTAGGGTTTAGGTTAGGGTTTAGGGTTTAGGGTTTAGGGGGGGGGGGGGGGGGGTGTTCGGGCTTAGGGCTTTGGGCCTGAGGGTCAGACTGCAGGCTGGGCGTTTTGGGCTTATAGGGTTTAGGATTTAGGGTTTAGGGAGTTGCGGGTGTATATGTAGACACCCCAAAGCATCCATAAGACCCATGTCTCATACGAAATTAGGGGCTGATATGCGTGTATTTGGGAGTATTTAGGGCTCCCATTTAAAAATCGGTGAGTGTATATATCTATATATATATATATATACACATACATATATAACATGTATATGTGCGTGCGTGCGTGCGTGCGTGCGTGCGTGCGTGCGTGCGTGCGTGCGTGCGTGCGTGCGTGCGTGCGTGCGTGCGTGCGTGCGTGCGTGCGTGCGTGCGTGCGTGCGTGCGTGCGTGCGTGCGTGCGTGCGTGCGTGCGTGCTTGCGTGCGTGCGTGCGTGCGTGCGTGCGTGCGTGCGTGCGTGCGTGCGTGCGTGCGTGCGTGCGTGCGTGCGTGCGTGCGTGCGTGCGTGCGTGCGTGCGTGCGTGCGTGCGTGCGTGCGTGGGTGCGTGGGTGGGTGCGTGGGTGTGTGCGTGGGTGTGTGCGTGGGTGTGTGTGTGTGTGTGTGTGTGCGTGTGTGTGTGTGTCTCTGTGTGTGTGTGTGTTTTTGTTCCCCACCTTCGGTGTGAGGTTGTTAGATTTTAAACTCAACTCTTCTCCTCGCACGGAACTCTTCTCGACTCCCTCAATTGCCCAACGCTAGAGACACCCTGGAGTGAGTTTTCCTGGAGTGCCCAATTTCAGAAACTCCCTGGAGTGCCCAACCCCAGAGTCTCCCTGGAGTGCCAACCCCAGAGAATTTTCGGAGTGCTCAAGAGACTCCCTGCAATGCCCAATTTAGAGTCTTTGCGGGGTGTCCAACCCCAGAGTCTCCCTGGAGTGCCCAACCCGGAGTCTCCCTAAAATCCCTACCTCAAAGGCCTGCCTGGAGTGACCAAGAGTCTCGGATGCCCAACTCCAGAGTCTCCCTGGAGCCCAACCCAGAGACTCCTTGAAATGCCCAAGCGAGACTCCCTCGTAGCGCCGTGCACAACTCAACTCCAGAAAAAGGTGCCCATCCCCAGAAATTTTTTGGAGTGCTCAACGCCAGAGACCCTGGAGTTTGCCCCCTCAGAGACTCCCTGAGTGCCCACCCCGGAGACTCCCTGGAGTGCCCAACCCCAGAGACTCCCTGAAATGCCCAACCCCAGAGACTGCCTAGAGTGCCCAACCAGGGAGACTCCCTGGAGTGCCCAACCCCAGAGACCCTGGAGTGCGAAGGTGGGAATGTTCGAAGTCAAATAACTTATTGATTTTTGTTTGTTTGGGTTGGGCATACTAGAAATTCAAACCAAACTTCATACGGGGGTTCTATGCCAGTACGTTTTCCTGTCTTTTTCAGGGTCCAGGTGTCACAAAGAGTGACGCCTAAGAGGTAGGGCGTCGTGCCAGCGCCGATGTTGCCCATTATAGACTTGAGACTTGGGATGTTCCCCCTTACACTAACAGTCCTTAATACATGGATTGTAGTGCCCCCGATTATAATTCCAATGAAGGACTGTTAGTATATAAGGGGGAACATCCCAAGCATTATCTATGGACTTGACACCTCCAAATGAAGGTTGGCTACTAGTTAGGGCTTAGCGGCCTCTACGGGAGACCTCAACCCCAAACCTCAAACCCCAAGCCCGAAAACTCAAACCCTAGACTTGGGATATCTTGGGATGTTCCCCCTTAAACTAACAGTCCTTAATAAGGACTATAGTAGGGTGTACTAGAATCCCTATCAAGGATCAGGACTGGTAGTGTAAGGGGGGGGATCCCAACCCTAGGCCCTAAATGGCTTGAGGCTTAAGCCCTAAACCCTAAACCCTAAACCCTAAACCCTAAACCCTAAACCGACCCTAAACCCTAAACCCTAAACCCTAAACCCTAAACCCTAAACCCTAAACCCTAAACCCTAAGCAGGAGCTTGGAGCCGAAAGTTCAGGAGGTTTGGGGTTTGGTCAAGCTGCCTCTGTGTCGTTGTTGTGAAGCATGACGCTCTTCCTAAGGTCATCCGTACAGGGTGGGGCCCCCTAGTTATAGCTTACGGCGCGATTACCGACCCTGCCGAATACAGATGTTTTTGCGGTTTGGGATTGACGGCTTCGGTTTCGAGTTGACGGATGTTACTTGGGAGGGGGGGAGGGGGGGGGGGGAGGGGGCGGGGGGGGGGGGGGGGGCGGGGGGGGGGGGGGGCGGGGGGGGGGGGGGGGGGCGGGGGGGGGGGGGGAGGGGGGGGGGGGGGGGGGGCGGGGGGGGGGGGGGGCGGGGGGGGGGCGGGGGGGGGGGCTGGGGGGGGGGCGGGGGGGGGGGGATGATTACGACATTTGGACAGCGTGTCAGGAAAGCACTGATTTCGGCAGCCGTGTGGGCTTCCAGGTGTGCTGGCCATGGTTCTCGCCTGGCTGGCTATCTCGCTCTGCCTTGCGCTGCTCCTTCGCGAAGATGTTGCGACCTGCCTGCCCTGGCTTCTGAACTTCAGTGATGAAGATGTTCTTGCTCACATCGAAGTCCTGACGGCGCCCTTTCCAGCTGGACTTGCTGAGTACATGGCCTTGCGAGCCAGTCTGACGGACTCCCGGTGGGGCGGTGTGCCATGGGAGCATCTGCTTCTTTCCAGCAGCTGCTTGTCCGCAGTGGCTTTTGCTCGTCTTCGTGCACAACCAGGAACCTTCCGTGCCTCGCCCTGGGCTCTTTGGTGTCTCCAACGTGTGGAGCGTTGTTTCGGACCTGTATCTGGTCTCCCCATCAGGCCACCACCCTACGTTCTGTGTGCTCAGCTGCGCGATTTTGTTGCTCACATGGACCAACGCTTTTGGGATGCTTAGGTCTCCGCAGAGATGGTTCCGTTGCCAGCAGATGGCTCGTTTGATCTGAGCCCTAAGCCCTGAAGCCTCGCCCCTAAACCCTAAACCCTGTTTCGGTTTCTTCGGTTTAAGCTTTCGAGTTTTCCCTGACACCCTCCTGCCTCTATACCCTGAAATATTCACGACAGTGCACGCCCCAAGCTCTGCTCTTGGCAAACCTCAACAGTGTCCTGCAAGCCCAAATACCTCAATTCTAATTCGACTCTCTCGAATTCAGAGTTTAGGCTTTCGAGTGCACGGTTGAGGCTTCACCGTTATGCCCATGTACCCTGAACCATACACCACGCACTGCAAGCCCGAAACTATAACACTGAAGTATACTGAACTGCCGAATTCGCTGCAAATACCAACATTTCCATACACGAAGACAGCCTTGAGCCCTTGCTTGTCTACTCGTCCAGAAACGTGTCACCGAAGGGCTTTCAAAAATAAACGTCTCACAAAACCTGTCTTAACATGCAAATTCGCTGTACATACCACTATTTCCGAGAAAAACACTTCTCCAATAAAGCGACTTCTGAAACTCCAAAAATCGTGAACGCACGAAAACACTGCTATTTACAGTGGATTCGGCCAAAATTATCAAAACCCTCGGTAAAAATGGGGTTTTCGGACATGCGCTACGGAGCACCCCAGCACGGAAACATCGAAAAACCGAGGTTTTCGACTTCAAACCCTTCAACACAATGTCTTTTTTTCACGGGATCGTTAACCGCGCCGTAACCTAGTTATAAGTAGAGTTATAAGGGCCCTAAATCGGGTCATAAGGACCCTAAGTTAGGTTATAAGTCCCTTAACTACAGTTAGTATAGTAAGGGGGCCCCACCCTGTAGGGTCATCCGTAGGGTCTAGGGTTTAGGGTCTAAGACCCTCGAACCTGAAACCCTAAGACCCGAAACCCTAAACCCTAAACCCTAAACCCTAAACCCTAAACCCTGAAGCCAGGCTGCTTGGGGGACTGCTGGTTCCCGGCTGCCACGTCGAGGACATGTATCGAGCAGGCGGAGTTCAGGGCTTAGGGCTTCTAGGGTTTAGGGTTTGGGGTTAGGGTATGGGGTTTAGGGTTTAGGGGTTGACTTTTGGAGGTTTAAGGTTTAGGGTTTCCGGGTTCTACAAGTTGGGGCCAAACAGTGTGTGTCGGGGGGGGGGGGTAATACTGCTTGGGCATAATGTATACATATATATATATACATATTAGTTAAGTAAATAGGTATGTATGTAGACTATCAACGCCTCAACCCCGAAACCCTAAACCCTAAACCCTAAACCCTAAACCTAAACCCTAAACCCTGCAAGGCTACAAGCTTGTCTGCGCGGCCTCCGACCACGGCCTGCTGGCGGAAGGTGCCCCCTCCGGTAGACTTTTGGGGGGCTTCCATTGGTGATGTGTTGGGGTTTAGGGTTTAGGGTTTAGGGTTTAGGGATTAGGGTTTTGGACTTTTTGTCGGTGGTGGGTTTTTATTTGGGTGGAAGTTTGGTAATTGTGGGGTTAGGTTTTGGGTCTTTCGGTTGGCTGAAGGTGTTTGGGCATTGTTTCAGGTTTGGTTTTTGTTTTCGGAGGGGCGTTTAGGGCCTTTTAGGCTAGGCATGTAGGCTTTAGGGGCTGAGGCTGTAGGGTTTCAAGGTGTCGCGTAGCCCTACAGACCCTAAGCCCCAAAGCCCTACAGGGGTTCGAAGCGCTATGGGGCTAGGGGTGACCCGAAGTTTGGGACCCAAAGTCGGTGATGCTTAGAGCCTGAGGGTTATGGCTCAGGGCTATGTGGCCTGCAGAGCGGCAAAAGAAAGGGTTTGAGGGTTTTAGGCAGGTTCAGGCGTTTGTGACCCTAAGCCCTTGATTCTCTTGAGTTTCGGGCCTACCCCGGCTTAGAAACTTAGAGCCTCGCTCAACAAACCCTAAACGACATTCGCCCTAAACCTCACAAGCCCCTAAACCCCTCAAAAACCCTCATAGCCCTTAAGCAGCAACCTAGAACGAACAACATCTTCCAAAGAACAACACAACAACCCTAAACCCTACACCCTAAACCCTGAACCCTAAACCCTAAACCCTAAGCCCTAAGCCCTAAACCCTAAACCCACAAAAACATGTTTCCGGCAGGCGCCAAGGCATGCCTCAAGGCCGAACGCCCTGTCGAATGAGGCATCGTGGGGGCACTTGTGAACTTATGAAGTCAACGGGAACCAGGGTTTAGGGTTTAGGGTTTAGGGTTTAGGGGGACTTGGGATATGAAGTCAACGGGAACCAGAGTTTAGGGTTTAGGGTTTAGAGTTTAGGGTTTAGGGTTTACGGTTTAGGGGGACTGGGGACTCTCTTCGGGGCTTTGAGGGGGGGCGGGGGGGGGGGGGGGGGGGGGGGGGGGGGGGGGGGGGGGGGGTGGAAGGGGCCCATATCCCCGTCTTGGGGCTGAAAAAGGCTTACTTGGGGTGATGAATTCGGGTTTAGGATGTAGGGTTTAGGGTATTTGGGGGAATATGGGCCCCTTACAACCCACCTCCCTTCCAGCCTTCTATAGGGCCCCACAGGGATTAGGGCTCTTACCTGAAGGCTCCAATGTAGTTCCTCTTTGGGCTCGCTTATACTATCTGAACCCTTAGCAAAGAATGTGCTGCATCATTGAGAGCATGCATATGTCTGTACCACGCCAGGTTGAGGCTCACCCGAGACGTATGAAAAGGGGTTGATTGTCTAGGGCCTAGGGCTTAACGCCCTTTAGCTGGCTCTACTAAAGCTGGGGCTTCGGGTTCCAACCATCGGAGATTCATATCTGCCCTTCTACCGAATGAGCAGTACTGATCATCGAATCAACACATGCACCCTAAACCCAAAACCGAGAACCTGAAGTCTGAACTAGGCAGAGTCGAGCTTCGTTGCTTTCGGTTGCAGTGTATATATGTGTATTCAGCAATAGTACGCTGCATATATGCTCCCCAAGCCCTGTACCTCAACCTTGAACCCTTTGCATTCCTGGCACACCCTAAACCCTAAACTCTAAACCCTAAACCCTAACCCCTAAACCCTAGACCCTAGACCCTAAACCCTAAACCCTAAACCCTCGCAGCAATAGCTTGGCCAACGCCCTCTGTTCCCTGCCAGGCCACGGCTGAGAATCGCAGACTTTTACAAATAAGGTTTAGGGTTTGGGGTTTGGGGTTTAGGGTTGACTCAGGGCGTAGGGCTCAGGTTTTAGGGCTTAGGGTTTATCCGACACGTGACCCCCAAACCCTAACGCCTACGTTCAGAGACTGGGGTTTCCGGTTTACCCAACGGCTCCTATGTAGTACCTTTTTTTGTGGGTAGTATACTACAATCCCCTATAGCGAACCCCAAAAGGATGTAATCCAGGGGCAGGAATAACTTTTAATGACATTCTCTTATGATCCTTTTACAGTTATACAATCATGGCCCCCAAGCCCTATTCCTAAACCCTAAACCCCAAACCCTAAACCCTAAACCCTAAACCCTAAACCCTAAACCCTATTCTAATACTCAAGGCCCCTACATTACATGGGAGCCTTTAGGTGGGGCTTAGGGCCCCCCCCCCCCCCCCCCCTCCGCAGACCATCCGTCGCCCTGACCGCGCGGGACACGGGGTGGGTTGCTCGAAGTTACGTTGCCTTTTTGGGGTTTAGGGTTTAGGGTTTAGGGTTTAGGAAAATTTTCGATTTCACCCTAAACTGAAACTAGAGAAAAGGGGTGGACTGCTCGAAGTCATGTTCCCTGTTTGGGGTTTAGGGTTTCCTTTGGGACTGGGTAGGTAACCTTTGACCTTCTTTTTTTTTATATGGAATCCGATATATATATATATATATATAATTTGACCTTTTTTGGGCTAGGGCATTCAGCCCCAATTTTAGGGTTTAGGAAAGTATTCGAGTTCACCCTAAACTGAAGGATAAAAGGTTATCTCAAACTCTTGTGTAGAGCAACCCCCTCCGACGGCGAAAGCTCCGACCGCGCTTGATAACGACCGGGTCAGGTGGAGGAAGCACGCCCGAGCTTTCAGGATTTGGGGTTTCGAGCTGAGGATTTACTAAGTACGGTGAATTCGAGCCTCATACCCGAATCCCTAAACCCCAAGCCTTAAACCTTGAACGCATGGACCTACGAACCCTAAGCCTCAAGGTCTCAAACGTGCAGGCGAACTGAATCCATGGTACTAGCCCGTCCCGTAGTACCTTTAGTTGCAGAAGGGGTTCAGGGTTCACACGGAGCACAACCCTAAGCCCTTCAACCCCGAAGCAGATTGTCCAGAGGTAAACCCTAAACCCTAAACCCTAAACCCTAAACCCTAAACCCTAAACCCGAAACCCGAAACCCTAAACCCTAAACCCTAAACCCTATTCTACACACATCCGAGTTGACAGTTTTAGGGTGCAAGGTTTGGAGGGTTTAGGACTTCATGTGTGGGGTGTAGCCCCGGTCTCTTGTGATCCAATCACAGTTGCCTTAAACCCCATGATTTCTTAGTCTTAGGGGCTCTTTTCGGGTGTTTTTAGCAGGCCTAGTCGGGTTAACCCTAAACCCTAAACCCTAAACCTTAAACCCTAAACCCTAAACCCTAAACCCTAAACCCTAAGCCCTAAACCCTAAACCCTAAACCCTAAACCCTAAACCCTAAACCCTTAGAAGCTCCAAGAAGGGACCACAAAGTGCTGCTCATGCCAGTCGTGCTCAAGTCAAAGCAGGGCGGCCGGGAGCCGCGGTTTAACTGCTTGTGACCCAATCATATAACTGTAGTGAGTTTAGGGTTTAGGGTTTAGGGTTTAGGGTTTAGGGTTTGGGGTTTGGGGTTTAGGGTTTAAAGTCGAAAATTTGGGGTTTAGGGTTTAGGGTTTAGCGCAGTTCGAGCCACATTCAACGACTTATGAAGCGGCTATGGTGCGTCGATTAAGCAGGTATAGGTCGGGAAATTCCCAGAACTCCAAGAAGGGCAAAAACAGGGTGCCGCTCGTGCCAGCTGTGCTCAACAAGTCAAAGTGGGGTTTAGGGTTTAGGGTTCAGGGTTTAGGATTTAGGGTGGGTGCCTGGAGCTAGAACCCCCAGACCCTAAACCCTAAACCCTAAACCCCATAAAGGCCCTAACCTTCAAACCGCAGACCCCACTTCAAGGGTTTAGGGCTTAGGGTTTAGGGTTTATCCGGTCCTTCCAGGAGCGACTTTTTTTGGAGGCCCCCACCAGTCGATAGTGCGTTGGCTTTGCGTACACAGACCCCACGAAAATGCAGGCTCTAGAATGCTGATGCAGACCCCCAAACTCAACCCTAAACCCTAAACCCAAATCGGTCTAGGGTTTCGGATGTAGGATTTACGGTTTAGGGTTTAGGATTTAGGGAGGTTGCGGCGCTCTAAGCCGACAAATGCTCTCGCCGGCGGCTTCACGCCATGCGCCTGCGGCGCCCGCCGTTGCCTCCAACGTTGGAGGCCAGATGCATGGGGCGTACAAGGGGCGGTTTAGGGTTTAGGCTTTGTTTTGGGCGGGTTTGGGTGCAGGGGTTTCCGAAATTAGGGTGCCTTTTTTTTCCGGGACTTCCTGCAATATGGACTGTCGTATTTTGGGGGTGTATTAGGGGGGGCTCCTATTATAGGACAAGGCTTTCATAGAGGCTGCAATGGTTTAGGTTCTGCAGCTTTTTCGGGGTTAAGGTTTAGTTTGCATCAAGGTCCCTGTTCAAACCCCAAACCCTGCACCCTAAACCCCAAGCCCTAAACCTAAACCCTCAACCCTATTTCTAAGTATTAAAGCCCCGATACTACATGGGGTTCAGGGTTTACAAGGCAGCCTTCGAGGTGAAGGGCCTCTTTGAGGCACGTTCGGCCCGCACCCCCCGCGTGTACGGCATTATTCTCCTCCATTCTGAAGGTGGAATAGGGTCATAAAACCCAAACCCCCCCTATACATTTCAGGGTTTAGGGTTTAGGGTTTAGGGTTTAGGGTTTGGCGGCCTTGAGGCCCAGAAGCACTTTTGGGAGGGCTTTTGCCCAGTTGACCTCACCTGAGCCCTAGAAACCCAAAGCTTTTTTGCCGGGGCCCTCTGCAGACTGTTGACCCAAGCACGCAGAGGTTAGGGTTTAGGGTTTTGAGGTTAGGATTGTTAGGATTGTTAGGGTTAGGATTGTTAGGATTGTTAGGGTTTTTTAGATTTTGGGGGTTTTAGGGTTCTTAGGGTTTAGGTTTCCACTTTTGCGCCATTCTTCGTCGAATCTTCTCCCTGCGGAAGCGCCCACATGCGGCCGTTAACCATCCACTGCCTTGCCGGGTCCACGTTCGAGCTCCATGTGGACGATGCGGAAACGGGTCTGGATGTGCGGAGACGTGTCGCAGGCAGTGCTGGCTATCCAGCAGGGAAAATCGTGCTGACTTCAGGTGACCGTGTCCTCGACCTGCACCACCCACTGCTGCAACAAACTCAAAACCAAGAGCTCACATATGTGGTGCGCAAGTTTGGCGCAGGCCATGCGGCACAATGTATAGAGCGAGCATTAGCAAGAAGAGCATTGAGTGACGACGCGGATGCAATAATGGCTGCCGTTGTTGCCTTGTACTTCGGCCATCGCTTCAACCAGAGCTTGGCAGGGGTGCAGCTTCCCAGCGACCTACAGACCTTGACCTGCGGCGACAGCTTCAACCAGAGCTTGGAAGGGGTGCAGCTTCCCAGCGGCCTGCAATCCCTGGCCTTCGGCAATTCTTTCAACCAGAGCTTGCAAGGGGTGCAGCCTCCCAGCCGCCTACAGACCTTGACCTTTGGCAATTCGTTCAACCAGAGCTTGGAAGGGTTGCAGCTTCCCAGCGGCCTAGAGACCTTGATCTTCGGCAGTAGCTTCAACCAGAGCTTGAAAGGCGTGCAGCTTCCCAGCAGCCTACAGTTCCTGACCTTCGGTTATGATTTCAACCAGAGCTTGGAAGGGGTGCAGCTTCCCAGCGGCCTACAGACCTTGACCTTCGGCGGCCGCTTTGACCAGTGCTTGGGAGGGGTGCACCTTCCCAGCGGTCTACAGACCATGACCTTCGGCGGCCGTTTCGACCAGAGCTTGGAAAGGGTACAGCTTCCCAGCGACCTACAGACCTTGACTTGCGGCGACAGCTTCAACCAGAGCTTGGAAGGGGTGCAGCTTCCCAGCGGGCTACAGACCTTGACAT